AAGAAATTGTACTTTGTTTATTTTGGTCCTAGAATGTCTCAATGATTGAGCTTGAGGTAAACATATGTTCTCACTGGTAAAAGATGAATTGATGCTTTAAAAGCATATGATCCTACATGTTGTACATTTCTACATTATACAATTCTATAGTCTGTAATCTACAAAGGACAATTTTTTGATAGTGACAGCAGAACAAGAAGCAAAAAGCAAATAAGACTTTAAGCGCATTACCTAGCCGCAGAACTTTGTCTGAACAATTTCCATTTTAGAAGTTTCAGAAATCAGCCATGTTTAAATGGCTGTTGTGGTGAACTTGGAATTAGTCAAATAGAGGGGCAGACAAACATAGAGCACAGAAGACAGCTCTCTTTATAGAAAAGTTGATTTCAGCATTGCAATTACGTTATTTTATTGGTCTAATGTGACATATTCAATAGATCACATAAAATTTTTCTCTAGAAATGTTTTTTACTTTCCCCCCATGAAACACCACATTTTTTATGAGTCATCAAGTATTTGAAATCTTAAAAAGGCATGCAGTGAAGTCAAGTGCACATTCAGTATCCTGAGACATCTGGGAGTAGGAGGTAAATGGAGACACTTAAGCCAACAGTTTCCCAAACACAGAGATATGTAAATACTTGAGTTCTACTAAATGCATTCTTTAACATTCTGTAAGAAACTCACACTTTTGGTGAAGGGTGGTTCTAGTTTTGGAGCAACATTTTGGGAGATGTTGCCAGCGGCCTTTGTTCTTTTGTTTGTAAAAAGATGTTTAATGTGATATCCTGTGTCAATCAACAACTAAGGTTTGTATAAATGTCCATTTCTTAAGAATTTTAAGATATCTGGACGTGCATCTCTCTTGGGAACCTCCCTGTTTCCCAGACTCACTGGCACTGAGATTGTAGGCTGACACTTCCCGGATCCATATCTAAAATCCACATATGAGTGAGTACATACCATGTTTGTCTTTTTGTGTCTGGGTTACCTCACTCAGGATGGTTTCCTCTAGTGCTATCCATTTGCCTGCAAATTTCAAGATTACATTGTTTTTTTCCGCTGAGTAGTACTCCATTGTGTAAATGTACCACATTTTCTCTATCCACTCTTCAGTTGTGAGGCATCTAGGTTGCTTCCAGGATCTATCTATTACATACAATGCTGCTATGAACATAGTGGAATCCCAGTGCCAGTGAGTCTGGGAAACAGGGAGGTTCCCAAGAGAGATGCATGATACCCTGGAGAAGTGGAATGAGGCAAGATCTCCTGAGCAGATTGGGAACATCGGGGGGGAGGGAGAGGTAGCCAGGAAAAAGAGAGGGGGATAAGAGGAGGGGAGAAAAAGGTATGGGGGAGCAGGAAGGTTGAGTAGTGGTAAGAATAGAGGAGAGCAGGATGAGAGATACCATAATAGGTTGAGTCATTATAGGCTTGAGGAGAGAGCTGACACTAGTGAGATCTCCAGAGATCTACAAGGATAATATCAACTGGCAAACTAAGCAATAGTGGAGAGACTACATTAATTGCCCCTCCTTGATGATAAGGTTGATGACTTCCTTATGTGCCATCCTAGAACCTTCATCCAGTGACTGATGGAAGCAGAGACAGATACCCACAGCTAAACACTGAACTGAAATCCTGGAACCCAGTGACAGAGATGGAGGAGTGATGAGCAAAGGGGTCAAGACCATGATGGTCAAACCCACAAAGACAGCTGACTGGATAAAGGGGAGCTCTTGAATCCCAGATTGATGGCTGAGAGGCCAACAGGGGACTGATCCAGACTCCATGAATGTAGTGTCAGTGAGGAGGCCACAGCAATCACTGGGGCCTTGGGTAGTAGATCAGTGTTTACCATGGGGTATGAATGATCTTTGGGAGCCCATTTCAAATAGAGGAATGCTCTCTCAGCCTGGACATGTGTGGAAGGGCCTAGGTCCTGCCCTAGATGAAAGGACAGACTTTGGAGATCCCCCCAAGGAGGGCTTCACCCTCCCTTGGGAATGATGTGGGGATCGGGTGGGGGGCTATAGAGACTGGTGGAGGGACGAGGGAGGAGGGGTGGGAGAGGGAGTTGGGATTGACATGTGAAGCATTCATGCTTCTAATTTAAATAAAGACATATATTGAGGAAAAAAAGATATCTGGACATAGTATTAGCTTTGCTTTGCTGCTCTCTTTTTCTAATAAAAGCATCATAACCAACTGTAAGCAGTGGCAACATTCCTATTTTGCAGTTTGAGAAGTACATACATCAGAGCTCAATTAGCCAAACTAGCTTCTTGATCAGCCATAAAGAAATTCAGTAGGATTCAAGTGTTTCTTCATTTGACTCAATGTGTGAGCACAGGAACCTCTAGGCTACCTAATGAAAGGGGTGCCACGTATTAATTCTAAACAAGACAAGACCGGAAACTTTAAGCTTTCAGTAAAACAAAAAACAAAGACAAAACAAACACACACACACACACACACACACACACACACACACACACACACACACAAAGAAAAATCCCTACAGATCATTACCCTGCTTCAAAGTTAAGGTTGTATAAGTGACTTCTTTCTTTGTTGTCTCTAGCCATATGAATAGTGAACAAGTCACATTCAGGAAGGCACCTCTGTCATTTATAGAATTCCATCACCATTCAAAATTTCAAAATTTCTAAAGAGATGCATTCATTATCTGACTTGATGACTAGAAGATGATCTATCTATCTATCTCCATTTATCATCATAATGACCAATTCTTTTCTTCAATCATTTGTAATCTGGCTTCTGTACTAAAAGTTCCAACAATCCTTCTCTATAGCAAACCACCAGTTACATTCCACCCACCAACTCCAATGAGCAGGTATTGTGATCTGGGTTACCTATCACTTTCCTTAGGTGATTTCATCCATCCATGTTTCAATATCCACTCCTATGGCAATGACTTAGAACTGCCTTGACCTGCTGTATCAGACAGGACATTTCTGACTGTATAGCCACAGACATTTTAAACTCAATTTGTCAAAACAATTCCCATAGTCCACTAACCCCCTCATTTCAAAGGAACCCCCCCACATCCTTCAGCCACCATGTTCTTTACCACTGCTCTTGCTATTCTTGGGGGTAGAGGATACTGGGCATTGGGATTATTTAAAGGCCTCCTTGTGGTTTTAATATGCATCCATAGGCAGTTAACTACTGGCTGAGAACTTGGGTGAAGGATAATGAAGGTTTTGTGACTTTATAAAGAAACCTTATTTCTCCATGAATTTTTGGCTTTATTTTTTTTTCCTGATGATTTCTCTGAGGATAGAAGTCAAACTCCTGCCTAGGACTTTGACTCTGATGGTGTTGGCTACATTTGAGTAGAACAGAAAGCTGAAATGTGCCCTATCATCAACGAGCTGTATTCTTGTTAGACAAAGGGTTCTGGTATTGCTGGTCTACCTGCTTATACTGTTCAAAAGTGATGGTGCCTGTCTGAGCTTCATCCACAGCCTTAAACCTTTGCAGAGTCTCCAGGAGCTCCTCCTCCAGGGGGATGGGCCATGGCATTGCTGTAACCATCAAGAACTTCCTCCAGTCCACAAACTCTGAGTTTACTGTTAATAAAGAAGTTATCTCCTGCAACTGGAAGAACACAGAGAATCTCATCGGAGTGTTTGTGTGACTAACTTGAAGCTCCTCCCACTAAAGCTTTCAGAGTTTGGTTCCACCAAGGGACAAGAGATTTTGCACTGGCAGGCAGAGTCAGTTCTGGCTTGGGTTTACTTTCATTTTCTGTTCTAACAACTGATCCATACCAGCCAATAACTGTTTACTGTTACTCATCCAATTTACTTATGGGATTTCAGTTAACCTTGTGTTTTTTCACCAGCAGAAGGTTAAGGACTGACAACCTAACATACTAACAGGGTAGTGCACTGTAACTGTTCTAGTTCCTTGGGCATTAGTGAGATTATGATGAAAAACAAGGACTCTCAAAATCATCTACTGCTACTTGTTAAGATAGCTGCAAACTGGTAGTAATTGGGTTGACTCTTCTGGTTTCTGAAATGTTTAGGTGTTTGGTTATCAATAATATGTCTTATTTTCAAGTTCATTCACTAGTTTAAATTTTGTAGATTTCTTGCTAGTGCCACAAACTGTGTAAGTACTAGTTCTCTTAGAACTATTGACTGACCGAGGAAGACCAGCATTAAAGCCTTTTAGATCCCAAACAAAGCAGAAGCTTACATCGGGCTGGGTGAGGTGCATCCAGCTGCTAGGAAGGTTGTTCGTTCCAAGGTTCAGGGTCACCAAATCAAGCAGAATGTCAGTAAATGCTTTATTTCCTATGATGCCTACAACACAAGGAAACATTTAGTTATTGACTTTCTTAATGATTTAGCACTGCAACCATTACTTTAGAGAGAAATTACTTTAAAAACATTTTTAAAAATCCTAATGTTCTTGTTATCTCTCAAAAGAGTCCTCTGTGGTGCAGGAAAAAAAAAAAAAAGAAAGAAAGCAAAACAAACTACAACAAAAAATATTCCTGATTGAGAAAATGATGAAACTGCATAATTCTTAACTTAAAATCTTCTTTGATGTTTTGTTTCAAGTGGGTTAATTTTTAAGAAACATGCTAAATTTTGCTATTTCCAGTAGAACACAGGGGTAAAATATTTCATATTTCAAAAACATGAAAACAAGATGGAAGCCACAACGAAGGTAGAATTCATCTTTCCATTTGGCTTCCAGTTAGCAACCACTCACTTTTGTAAAAACAGGGAGATTTGGATGGCTATTGAATTGAACTCAATGAGACTGCAGGTTCTAATTAACCATAAAATACCACTAAATACCCAACTGCCTTGCTCTTGTCCACTAATCTACTGTAGCATATCTACAAGACACAACTACTTAGATTCTCATTCCAAATTGCATGCACATGCACTAGAAATAGAGAAATAAAATAAATAACAACAACAAAACATTTGATTAACACACAGAGCAAAGGTACCTTCTAGAATTATGGGAGACAAGTTACATACATCCAGGTATTTGGCAGGTATACTGTATAGAGCTGTTCTTTTTTCAGGAATAACAAAGGTGAATTAGACATAGCGTTCTGATGTTTCTTTTTACATCTGAGTTTTCATCATATCTGTAAGACCACATGATCCTCAGTGCTTTTTCCTAAACTCTAGGGAAATACAGTTATCCCTTTAAATGTTGGTGATTCAAATCACATGTATACTTCCGAGATTTGTAAGGTAATATGATGAGTAGCGAGAGTTCACTCTTATTCTTTTGGTATAATTAACCACCCACAGGTAATTTTGAGATGAATTCTATATTATTTGAATTTCACTGAAGCATCTAAGGTTAGCCATGAGAACATTTTCCTGTGTAAAAGAATTCTCTATAAACAAAAGTTTATATGATGTCACATTGAGTTTCAGTTATAAAAAAATCAGCTATGCTGTTTAAGATGGAACCACAAATAAAGTGTATTAAAATTGCAAAGGGAAGCAAAACACTTAAAATTCTGGTAGTAGTATGTTATGTTCTAATGGCAACATTAGGAAACAAAATGTTATAAAAGGATATTTTCAGTGCACATAGGAATTGTTTATCTGGAGATCTTAGTGAGAAATGTGACAGCCATTTTAATACTGTCCAAGGTATTTAGGGATATGATAGTTTCAGATACTGTTGATAACAATTTCAGTGACAAAGTTTGTTCAGAGATAAATTTAAAGAAAAATTCTATCAGTTTGGCCCGGCTAGTTACTCACGGCCACTAGAGTTTAGGATTATCCAGGAACAAGAGTCAGCTGTGTGTCACGTTCTGGGATAACGAAATTCATCAGTCTGCTCACCCTGAGAAAAATCTCAGACAGATGATATGGAAATATTGCTTAGAAGTATCAACCTTCACCCAAAGAATTAAAACAAAACCATTCAAACACAGAAGCGAAGTTGGACAATCAGTCTGGATTTTTTTTTTTTGCTGTGTATCTCTTTGTATGTTTAGAAAATGTTGTGTCTTTTGTGTCTGAGGCAAAGAGTGGCTGTTACTTTCAAGTTTTGTGGAAGCTATTTATTCTTGCTGTGATCAGTAACAAAGTCAAAATAGGTTGCATCACTCATCACTTTCATCTTGACTTTCTGAGCTTGATGAACTGTCCAGGTTAGTTTGCATGTGAGCAATCGATGATTGTGTTCTTGCATTCCATAAATGTATAGCTTTCCTGGGGTCAAAGCTGCTGATGTCCGGAGAGTTCAGCTGAATGATTAAGATGTCTGTCAAGCTTTCCGCCTTGATTTTCTCGCCCATGTGTGAATGGGAGTGCTTCATCTGACTACATCCCCGTGCTGGTTCTGCTGAACTTGCAGGGAGGGCCAGAACTAAGTCAACAAGCATCAGGATATTAGGATACTTATGTGCATAAATGGAGTTTACAAAATCCCAGGTCAGCTTCCGAATGTTGTTAAATCTAAAAGGCAAGATGAAGGACAGGAAAGGTTGAGAGAACTAACTTTTACCAGTTACTGATACATGTCATTTTATTCAGCTTGCTTTCTTATTCACCTGCCATATATTTCTAATTTTAACATGCTCCATTCTGTGTCTACTTCGTCAGTTTTCACATTGGCAGCTTCTAGAACTGGTTCATAATGTGAAATCAGGATGGATATCTCTTTTTCTCCAAATTCTGCAATCCATACAGATAAACAAAGTGTCACGTACCCTGAATAACCTCACGCAATCAAAGAACAGTGAGTTCAGAGTTATTGGTGCCTATGGGTTACCTTGATTTATCTTTGCAGGCCATAGTTTAAAGCTTCCAATCATGGTTGCTCTTACCACATCTAGGCTGGCATCTCTGAAACAGTCTTGCAGCCTCTTGATAAGATGTGTTAAAACCACCTTTCTCACGCTAGAAATGTTTTCTTTCCCTTTGAGGCAGTTACCGTGAAAGTGTGTAGCTGAATCCACCCTGAGTTCTTTTGGCCCTGGTCTGGGAGAAGATCACCCAAATAAAGAATTAAATGGATGAATACCTGGAAAACAATTCCCCAAGTCAAACTGTCTACCTTGTCAGGCCCTGAGATGTCCTCAACCTGTCACCTTGATTGATATATCTGGAGCATTTGCAGTGTTGACTCCAAGGTGGTAAATACATCTGCAATTGAAGAATTTCTGTTCTTACTGACAGTGGACAGAACGCTAAGGACACTAATGATGTCCATCAAGAAATGAGCAAATTTGATGATATCAGCTTGGAGAAGAAGATCTAGAAGTTCATTGGCTTTCTGTTGACTTGGATCATTTTTGCCTTTATCTGCCTGTAACATAAGTTGGGAATGATATGGTGGGTATGTCTCCATCTTAAAAACCTTACTCCAAAGAATTCAGCATAATTATTTCTTGATGTTCCGAAAAACATATTTAAAAAATTACTTACTGAACGCAGCTGCTGAACAATTGCTGGGTATCCTTTTAGAAAGTTCTGGAGGGCAGTTTGTAGTCCATGAAGCCACTGTCTGCCTCTCATCTGGGAAGGCATCACGGGTCGAAGGTGGAGGCCTCTGAAGGCAGTTATCAGAGAACTCTTTCGAAGAGGAGAGTGGTGATAGAAGTGGTAAATATTGGTAAGGAGTTCCTTTAGGTCATTGTACAGAGGGATGCTCTGGAACACCACTTTGTAAGATAGTTCTAGGTGATGTGCAAAGCAATACACACTTTGCACACATGGCTGTATTTTCCTTAAAAGCAGGGCCACTCTGTTCTCCCCCTCTATTCCATGGGAATCATCACTTCCAAAACCAACCAACTTCTTTGCCCAGTCTTGGCTCGACAGCCGAAGTTGCAGATTCGTCTCTAGAGTTTTCTCAATAACAGTTTTTATTGTCAAAGGGTCCTTCTGTTTTACTGACTGTACCCCAACAATCTGACATTGCACTTTTCCTGCATGTGCAAACTGAACATAGACCATTGTGACTTCCTGGGCTAAAGTGTCTACAATTCCATCACTGATGACAGAGAAAAATTTACTTCTTTCTAGTTTTTCTCTGAGATTTTTCCTTTCTACTTCGGCAATGAAATATGTAAATGTTCTTGCTGATTTATTAGTTCTGAAGACTGGGCCTATATCAACACCCTTCATATCATCCAACTTACACATCCAAATAAAGTCTTTGAGGGGACTTCCAGTCTTTGCTAGAGCATGGCATGATCTAAATAAGTTCTCTATTCTCCCAAGAGTCACTTTGCTCATGGTCCTTACCATCAGCTCTGTGGCAGCTCTGTCCACTGGAGAACCACTTGTTGCTTCCATCAGTGAAGCCTTGGCATGGGCTTCGCTGAGATGATGTGCACTGAGAAATTCAGCCCTGAAGTTGTCAGTGCCGTAGAAAAAACTTACTTGACTTCCCCCTGACTTTATCCCATGCTTACGGCACAGGGCACAGAACATAAGGTTTAATAGCTCATCGTATACAAGCCAAGGGTATTTTTTCAGCCAGATTTTCAAAAACTGATGATTTCTTTCTGGGAGGTAGTAGTAAAGTTTTCGTGACTTTTTCTGCTTTTTGGTGACTGGAATCATAGTGTCTCGAGAGTCTTTGCCTTTAAAAAAACTCCACATAGTTATTAAAGCACTCCTCCCACCCACATCTGCCTCTTAAATACATATTCTCTTGTCATATAATATATATATACATGTATTGTATAATATATGTATATACATATATGAAATACACATACATATAATGGTGAATGCAGTTGGTGTTGATTACATGCACACGAGTATAGGGCTAATCATTTTGGAATGGGCAACCTTCTTATCGGGGATTTGACCTGAAGAAAATATATTCCTCTTTTCAGTAGCTACAGACTGTCTGTAGCTCCTTAGCTAGGGGCGGAGCCTTTGGAGCCTTTCGCCCATCTATGGTGCAGTGTTGGCTGGTGTGGTCTTGTGCAGGCCATGTTTAGGCAATCAACAATGACAATGAACATTCAGCTGATGAGACACAGAAACTGTGATTAAGTGCCTAGCATATAGCTAGAAATAAACATACAGAAGGCATATTCTTCTCAACTAGTATATTGTTTGTTCATAATATGATCAAAGTTAGACCATAACTAACTTTGAATCATCAAAAGCCCCACATCTCATACACAGCACTGTACCGTCTGTCTAAATGACAGTAGTTATCCATGTGTGGGTTGTTTCTCCAGCTGAGTGTGTGTTGGGGTACTCCTATGATAAAGACCCTCCAGCTGTTTTCCTGCAGTTTTCATACAACTGGAGAAGGAAACATGGGCTGGTCTCTTGACCATTCCCTCAACATGCATCCTCCTATACTCTTTGCTATACATTTTCTAAAGTTTGTTCTTCTAAATTTAAATACCCTCTGTATCCTTGTCACCAAATCTAAGGAATCAATGCTTCCTTAGATTTGCTGGTTTTTTCGCCACATTTTTTTCTTGGACCAGTCATGATCACTGTACATGAATTCTCCTTTAGTTTGCACTCTTGGACATTTTCCTAAATTTCATATTCATATTAACCTACTGCTTTATATTAAATTTTCTTTGCCTGACTTTTCAAGTCACACCCTAAACTCCACCATAGCAAATGGTTTTCTTTTAATTATTGTTTTTAAATTAGCTATTAGTTACTTTCATCTTTCTCCATCAATCCTCTTGTGGTTTGAATAAGAATGACCCTATAAGTACATATATTTGAATGTTTAGTCATCAGTGAATGTCACTACTTGAGAAGGGTTAATTGATGAGGCCTTGTTTAGAGAAAGTGTGTTATTGGGGGTTTCAAAAGCCCAAGCCAAGCCTAGTATCAGTCTTTTTCTGCTACTGGGGAATCCCAGTGTAGAAGTATCATCTGCTTCTCCAGCACCATGACTGAGTGATGCCATGGTCCCTGACATGATGATAATGAACTAAATATCTGAAACTGTGAGCAAACTCTAATTAAATGCATTATTTATTTATTTTGTTTTTCTTAGACAGGGTTTCTCTGTAGCTTTGAAGCCTGTCCTGGAACTTGTTCTGTAGATCAGGCTGGTCTTGAAATCATAGAGATCCTCCTGTCTCTGACTCCACAGTCCTGGGATTAAAGGCATGCACCACCACTACTTGACCAAGTGCTTTCTTTTGTAAGTGTTGTCATGGACATGGTGTCTCTTCACAGCAATAGAACAGTGACCAAGACATCACTCTTGTTGCTTCATCATTGTCTGAAATAGTCCTATCCTATTTATTATATTCAGAAAAAAAGATAAATTTTATCTGGGAATATACATGTATTCTAGTCTTTCTAGAGTTTATGTGTTGAGGTAGGTTTGTGTTAGGTTGTCAAATGTTATTTGTTTTTTAATTTTAAGCTCTTAACTGGAATGTAATCTTTGACCTTGAGGATATATTGAAGAATGTATTATGATATTCACCATCATTACTAGGATCCCTTTAGAAATGAATTATGAATGGCTTAAAATTTTCAAAAGTCTACTTCCACCTACTCAAATACCTCGAAATCTGTTTTGTTAGCCCACTAATTAGATAGTTTCCTCTCAGTCACCATTATTTTGCATGTAAAAGACCTACCATGAAAAAAATGAATAGCTACTTCAATTTCAAAATTAAGTGATGTGATAAAAGGATATTTCAGGGGCTGGGAAGCTGACACTTAAAAGGACCTATATTTAGTTCCCAGGATCCATAAGGTAGCTCTCACTACCTGTAATCATAGCTCCAGGGCTTGATGCCTGTCTCTGATCTTTGACCTCCACCAGCACCAGGCATGTATATGATGTATATACACACATTTCGTGCAGGCATTCACACACACACACACACACACACACACACACACACACACACACATACACACAAATTTAAAGTGCATTGCAAAATTCATTTAACTTGAAAGAGGATGGACTCTGCCTTGCTAGAAGGTAATAACATTTTTGAGTTGCCTTTGACAAAGTGGGATCTTTGTTACTTGATGGTGACCACATTAATCTTGTCCAAATGTCACCATCACATCTATCCTTAGAATGTGTTTTTATACATTGGAGGCATAAAGACTTCTCAGGCTGTTTGATGAGCTGACACATGTCAGTGCATGTATTCATACAAGCAAACATACATAAACCTTGATATCCATTGGCCTTGGCAAGGGAACCTGTAAACTATAGAGTGAATTATCACTGTTGTTATCAACGATATTTTCTATGGATTTCTGGGACTAATTTTCAAAAATTTATATTAAATTCCATTTACTATCTCCAGGGAAAAGGGATGGTGTCCCAATAATTAGGACATTTGAGGAAGTAAAATAAACCTATTTATGAAAGACAACTTAGTTCACACATGAACAAACTTTGAATTATCTGAGTCCAAAATTTATATGATCATAGACACATTGCTTAACTGATTTGTGACTGAGTGTTTGGTCCCGATGACTATCGATGATGATTCTACACACGTCAGTCTCAATTACATAGGATATTAATTGGTGGAATTCATTGCAGAAGGCACAGAACTGTGATAATAAAAGGGATTTAAGAATTTTTGTGAAGAAAATAACATAAGCATTCATGTGACCAAATTAATTAGGTAAATACCTACCAGTAACTCCTTTGTTTCTACTCAAGATCTATGAGGCACTTAAGGAAAAGGCAGTTCTAGGAGGGTCATCCTTCACTTCTTAGTATCCCCTTACTGTCTATACAAACACAAACTCAGTATACCTGATACATCTCTACTTAGATGTATGGACAAAGATAATCTTCCATATGTCAAATGGTGTCAAGTTTACTAGTGGGGCCTCTAAGAGAGGAGGAAGACAGGAGAAAGGAGTTACCAGGGATGACCACTACCATACTCTCACAGTGCTGGAGTGTTGGTCACTACAACTCTCTTGCTTGTTTAATTCAGATTAATGTCACTTATAGCAAATATCTGACAAATTAAAACAAAGCAAGGTCTACTTGCAGTGTCACACACTCCAACAGAGCTCACTTGTCTTCCGGTGAAGTGATAACCACCACAGACAACTTTATTCATCTTGTGTTCCATCAGTGGAGATTATTTTCTTACCTTTAGGTGCTATATCGAGGAACTGATCTCGGAGATTGTCAAGCTGTTCAATTGTCATGGTGCCATTTTCTTCCTTTTCTACTGGTGGAGGGCGGGTTGGTGGGATAGCATCTGGAAAGACTTTTATATCTCCATTGATGTAGAACTCTTCCTGGCTTAAATAAATCTCATTTTGAATTTTTGTAGATGTTTCAATGTAGTATCGAGCTACTTCAGTCAACTTCTCTATACTAAAAATAGTAAAACGAACAGGGTGATCTCCACTGAAAATACTATTAATTTAATGAAACACACACAAAATCTAACATGCGACATGGTAAGTTAGATGATTCTATAAGTATTTAAAGATTTTAATTTATCTTAAGGCAGGGTACAAATTAATAAAGATTAAAAACAAAGCATACTCTTATTAAGTAGCTAATGCATTTCAGTTTTATGCAAAGCTGAACAAGAAGACAGCCTGTTAAATTTGGTTTTATTAGTATTGAAACATACTTTTCTATATAATAATAATACCAAAGGCTAGATTATTTTTCAAAGTAAGTTGATATGGCAGATCACAGTGTTTGATAACTGTCATTTATTACTAGAAAAGCAAAACCAGCTTTTCTCATAGCTTTATGTCAAAGGGTTCAATGTTACCCAGGACACACATGGTAGAAGAGCCCCCAGTGCACAAAGTTCAAAGCTGGATGATGTGACCATGAGCAGCAACAGTTAAGAGCTATCATGGCACAGTTGAAATGGATCCTAGGCTCTCACCTATAGCATGTGCCCACCATAACCCCATGGTTAGTCATGGGTCTGTGAGTGTTTTATCTTTCAAATGAAGCCATGAATATTTACTCACTCTTTTATGGTGATTTACAAGAAATCACACAGGTCAGGGGTATAAATATCCAGTTAATAGTTAATGGCCTAATGAAAGGCAATGCAAGGGTGTCTTAGGTAATAGACATAATTAAATGTACTGCCACTGTAATGAAAAAAGATCTTGTCTTGATCTTATGATGAAAGATTGAACATCACGAGATGATACATACCTACTCTGTCTTTATATGATGAGCTACAAAATGTTCATTTACTGAAACTTTAAAAAGTATTATTAGCTCCTGTCCTTGAAAATATGCCTTTAAATTAAACTACTCCTGATGCTCACTGTGGATGTTCTTATAAAATTTGCTAATTAATTTGTGGTTTAGAGTGTTCTGCTGTTGGGGACACACAAGTAGAGTATCACATAGAACCTGAGTTTACATGAAGAAAGGTTGTACAGGTTGAGACTTGGCCAGAACCAGAATATCAAATGACTGTGCACCACCTAGTGGAAGGTTACTATGAGTGATTTCAATACCGAAGAAAGAAAATGCCAGGGAAATAAATTTAGGGTTCAAATGGATTTGACAGAAAGGCTCTCTCTCTCTTTCCTCTCTCTCTCTCTCTCTCTCTCTCTCTCTCTCTCTCTCTCTCTCTCTCTCTCTCTCTCTCTCTCTCTCTCTCTCTCTCTCTCTCCCTCCTCCCCCTCTCTCTCTTCCTCCTCCCCCCTCCCCCTCCCTGTCTCTCTCTCCCTCCTCCCTCTTTCTCTCTCTCTCTCTCAAGTAATTTTTAGCTTCACATTTTGTGGTTTCCTGTGGTCAGACTACATAGTATTTTCAGACTCAGAAGGCAGAGACATACACAAAACAAATATGAGCACTGTAAGTATATCACATAGAATTAATATCCATTTACACTTGATGCATAGACATATGGATGGAAACTGTGAATCCTAAGAACTGAGATAAAATCTTTCATTTATAGATGGCAGGCACAGACTAGGACCCAACATCATTGCAAAGTTAATAGTAAGCGACTTGACTGCCCAACAGTAATAGTTTGTTATACATAATGGTAGCAAGGTTAACCAAGGAAATGGGTATGTTTGGATATTTTTCAATTCCTGACTTTCTGTGAAGGAACAATAGTACTGAACAGCTGGGCTGAAAACTTCAACGTGTGTTTTTATGATGAGAAACACAGAGGCTGTTTACAGATAGTAATTACTGCTTCTGAGAACATTGACCATTTGATGCCCATTCTCACACAAGTGCAAAACTCTCAGTATATGTTTACAATCTACCCTCCATTATACATATTATAGGCTCTAGTTCAAGCTGAAAATGGTGTGATAACCTAGCTGGAGTCCTTTTTGCACATAAAACTAATGAGCTCTAAGCAATCATACTTGGTATTCACTTGTGGATACTTTGGGAATCCCAGTCTCCTGGATTAAAATTATGTGTAATATTATCTTGCATACTAAAGCTCCCATTGAAAAGAGTAAAAACTGAACTCATAAAATGAAAGCTGTATCACAACAGACCCCTTTGAAGCACAGTTTACTGGCAGAAAATAGTCAAAACGAATGTGATGGTGATGTTCATTTAGAGTGTTTATAACAAGAGTTCCTGAATCTTAAACTTTACACACACACACACACACACACACACACACACACACACACACACACACACCAATTTAAATCTGTGGATGTCCTAAACACCCTTGTCAAATTTTTCATTTCTGGCACATAGTATGTTTTTTCTTTTTTTAGCTATGGAGAACCTAACTTACCTGGCCATTTCATTTAAATATCTCTGGCCAAGCCATTTTTCCATGAACTTGTAGACATCAATCACCTTTATCACTAAATCTTCAAGGACAGCCAAGGCTTTTGTCTTTATTAGTTCAAGTCGAAATTGCGTGGCTACTTCTATTCAAAAAGAGAAACTGTTTGTAAACTAAATAAACTGAACTCAGAAGGACAAATAGTATGCTTTCTTAGTCATAGGGAATCTGTACTTTAAAACGCATGGAAGGAGGATGGAGGCTATTTAGAAAGAGGAAGTATACAAAGGTCGGGGTTGGGGGATCAAGAAAGAAAAATGAGGGATGGATATGATTAAAGTATGTCATATGCATACATACAAAATCAAAATGAAACCTCTTGTTCTATAAAATTAATATAACCAATACATAAAGGGGAATTTTCATTGTATTTTTAATGCATACATGCATTTTTATGATGACTCAACTCTACTTATACCAATCACACTTTGATTTATGATACCCCATTGTGGGTAAGGTGGCTTCCTTCTCAGAGAAGCAAAATGAAATGTGCAGTAAAGTCTTTTGAGAATTTAAACTAGAATTATTCATGAGCTTTACACTTAGTAGAGCCGATATATGCAAGATCACGAATTGACTCATTCCTAAACTGTGTGTTCTCTCCCTTCTGTTCCCCACTTCAATCCCAAATCTACCTCTGTAGCACTCAGAGTCACTGGAGCCTTCTGCCTTCCTACAGATGTCAGTGTAATCACACTTCTGCTCAGGTGGCATCACCTCCCAACTTCCACAGAGAATGCATCTTACATCTATCTGTTGAGGAAGGTTCTAGTAGACAATCCATGATCTGACTTCCCAGTCCCCAAGTCACTCCTTCCTGGTTTATCTCCTACATTTCACAGCTACTCACTGAATAGTTTTTATATCCTCTTTGGATTTGGCCCATACCTCTGTTTTCTATTCCTGCCCCTGGCCTGTCTACTGAGTGCATTTTCCCCTTCTCTCTGGTTCAGCTAACATTAGTTCATCTGGAAGTCTTTCCTGATGCCTCTCCACCTTGTCCCATTACAGAATGTTAGAAGTCACGGTTTATATCTCTTTTCTTCTAGCTCGATTACATATGTACATGTGTCTCAGCAACCACTACAGGGGCACAGCCTGCAGTGAAAAACTTGACAACTTTTGTAACGTGAGGAAAAGTTTTTATCTCATTGAGGATCCTGTGTCAGGCAAATTTAAAGATGAAACATACTGGAAGCAACAGGAATCACATGTGAAGACAGACACTGGAGAGAGGAAAATGCATGTTCTACTCTCTGGATGCCTTGCAGCTCCCTGGGTTCAGGTCACTTTTGATATTTCTGCTGTGGTGGCAGAATGGATAGTGGGGTGAAGGGATAATAAAGGGGAGAGACACGAGCTGGAAAACATCCTTATTTAATTAATGTTCCCCTAGTAAATATCTAGTTGGCCCAATATGGCCATATTATGTATTAAGTTCAAAAGGAAAAATACCAACCACCCCCCAAAAGAACAGGTCTGCTGACTTGGTCCAAAATGATAGTCTTGGTTTAGATTAAGCAGGTCTCCAGGAGGGTTGATAGTGGAAAGACAACAGTTCACTCTTATATTCCTCAGGAACCTGTGAAACTGGTTTCTGTCTGCCAGGAAGAGTCACTTCCCTATTGACACATACCTATGGTACATAGCAAGCCACAAGTCCCCTCCCCCACCTTGTAAACTGCCAGGCTAATCTAGTTCCCAGGATTCCCTCCACAGCCCTGAGCTATGGGTTTTACTTTATAACCCACAAGGGTTTTCCTTGCCCCCACGCTGACCTTGCCAGACTATCATACAGTGGTAGGCATGGATGCTTTGGACTTCCCCCCAAAGACCTCTGGTTATTAGCTCTCTCATATCTAAAATAAAAACCTTCTTCTTCATGGATTGTTGAACCACCAGCCTCCAAGTGTGACATGGAAGCTTATTATGAATGCTGGTCCTTATCTTACGCTTGTCCCATTAGCTCTTATAATGTAAATTGTCCTGTTTCTCTTCATTGACATTTTGCTTTGGGGCTTTTTACCTTTCTTTCATTCTTAATGTCCTACTTTTCTGCTTCCTTTGTGTTTGGGCTGGTTGGTGTCTCCCTCTTTTTTTCCCTGGTTCTCTCTGAGTCTTTTACTCCTCCTTATTCTGTCTGCCAGCAGTACCTATCCCTCTACTGCCTAGCTGTTGGCCATTCAGGTTTATATTAGATCAATCAGGTGTCTTAGGCAGACAAAGCAACACATCTTTACACAGTTAAACAAAAGAAGCAAACCAAATGTACCATATCTTTATATAGTTAAAGTAATAGCTCACAACAATGGATGGGTCATTTTGGTGGTTTCTCTGTGCCCTTGCTTACATTAAAGTTTTGTCAGCTAGGACACTGACAATCCTTCCTTTCCATAGACTATCTTTGCTCAAGTCCTGATATTCTAAATTCCATTTTGAATTGCAGTAAAAGAAAATCAGAAGAGCCATAGGAGAACAGGTCTTGCAGAGTTATTGTTGAGTATAGGGAAGAAAAGCCTTAAACTTGAGACGTGAAGTCTCTTGACTAGTCTTTGTTTCCAGAAACTCATCCTCAGAGCTTACTAGGCTTTGACCAGGTTTCTTTTCCTTTTTCAGTATTTATTTACTTTTAAAGCTTTATGTATATGAGTGTTTTGCCAGCCGAATATGTATGTCCATCATATGTGTGCCTGGTGCCAGTAGAGGTCCAAAGAAGGCGTTGGATTCCCTGGAAACTGGAGTTACAGATGGATGTGAACCACCATGTATGTGTGTGCTAGGAATTGGATTTGAATCCTCTGGAAGAGCAGTAAGTACTCTTAACCACTAAGCAGTCTCTCCAGACCCAGGTATTTTCCTAATGAAAGGAGTGACTTCCTCTTTTGCAATATAAAAACATCAGTGTTACACAGCTTCTACATAATCCTGCAAAACCATACCAACTTGCAATTTATTTTTTTTCTAGTCTTTGAAATTTGAATTTATGCCCTTTTTTGTTTTGTTTTAATCTTTCTTAAATCTTTCTGACAGCCTGCAGATACACTAAACAAGATTAATTAGGGAGTTAGGTACAGTGGTACTAGCCTGTAATCTTTTCACTCAGGAGACAGACATAGGAGAATTGTTACTTCAATAATAGAGAGCACTTCTCAGCAAGTTTGAAGCCAGGCTAGACTACAAAGCTGCTAAACCTTATCTCAATAAATAAATGAGTTAATTTAGTTAGGTTAAATTAAAATATAGACTCAACTAGCTCATACACCATAGCAGCCAAAGCTGGTCTTTCTACAGTCAAATGAAAACAACCATGTGAATGGTATGTTTTCAGTCTGTCTGCCTGAGTTCTGAAAGACATCCAGAGATTACTGAGGAGCCCTGCCTGGGTTACTGGTCTACTGGTTTGCTCTCTACCGAAAATCGTGTTCGATTCCTCCTCCCACCTTCCAACTGCAGTGCAGCAAGATGTTCTTCCTTAATCTTGAGTTTCAGTTCATTCTTCCTTTCCATTTCAGCTAGTTCCTCGGGTGATAGTGTGACGGGACTGACCTCTGCCACCGGTGATGATTTACCTGAAAGGTAATTGACACATGGTGAGTAAATCACCAACCTACGAGTTTATGGACATAGCACTTGGTGGATATGATGACAGAGAAAAATCTGTACAGTCAGAAACTGCTGGAGATTTGGAATCAAGGAACTTTGGGTTCTCTGAGTTGGGTAATGAAGTATTTATAACCCTTCATTGGTAATTCGGTAAACTTTCTGGTCTGGTTTCGTAACAAAACATGTTATGTCACATCTCAAGAAAAAAACGAGGTGAGTGCAGAAGTGATTACAGAATTTTAAAAAGATAAATTAATCACCTGCAGAATTACTGTCTTAAAACGTATATAGACGTGTGTATATATATTTGAAAGCAGTTCTTAGTTTTTTTTTAAAGAGTGTGTGGATATTTGCTGAGGATCTGCAAAGTATTTTGCCAACAACAGACAGAGTTTAAAACAATGGCTAGCACCTGAGTGGCTTACAGGTGAATCACCTGGTTAAAGGTTGGTTTCCTACCAAGAGGTTTGAAGAGACTTGGGTACCAGGTCCTAGTGCCTTGATACCTTTTCCTTTCTTTTCTGCCTTTTTCTTCTTGGGCGCCTCCTTCTCTTTCTTGGCCTTTTTATTTGTACCCGACTGAGGAGACTTTTCTTTGGAATCCACTGGGGGTGTTTCTTTTTCTTCTTCTATGAGTCTTTGATGAACTTCTGCAGCCACCTGTATGATAGCAGTGTCTCAGTTAAGATGGTGTTTAGCAAACATGACAATCTTTTGGTTTTACCCTCTCAGATTCCATGGAAGCTTCATTCTTCTGTGAACAATGAAGCCCGTGTTCTTGCCCTTTAAGAAGCACACCGTTTTATGATTGGCTGATCCAGACCACAAGTGCTAGTCCCCTGTCTAAAAGGAGGCTCTCATCCCATTAATCCCTGATTGGAATGCATTTTTATGCACACTCATTTTGAACTCTGAAGCTGGCAAATGTAGGGTTTTGCATATGGTCATTTAGTTTTCTCTCCACTGATAACCAGCCTGCCTCCATCTTAGACTTGAAAGTCATCTTACTGTAGAGACAAACTAGATTCATTCCTGTTTATGATTAAATCTGTTTCTCAAGGATTAGGCTATGTTCCATCTGTAACTTGTCTACAGATGGTTCTGTGCTGCCTATTCCAGGAAAAGAGCAACCCCATCTTCATTTCAAAATGTTGTTATAGCCACCTTGTTATGACTACCTTGCAACCACGTCTTTGTTTTAGGAGGCTGTTACGATCAACTTGTGATGTTTATGGTATGCTGCTGTAACCTTGCCTATTTGCCTGCCAAATCCACCATTTAGAAACCTCTTATTCCTGAACTATAACAACCCTCATCTTCCCCAAGTCCCAAACTGATCTCTCTGTAGACAAATAAAGAAGGTTTCTTTAAACAAATAATTTGGCAATTGTTTGTGTTGATGGTCTTTCTCCTCAAATTTGTGAGATTGACACCACCTCTATGAATTTATTGGATCATCTTTCAAGTTTTTGTTATCTCATGGTGTCTAAGACAGGCATTTTTTTCTCCTTATATCTGTTTCTGTTCTAGTTTGCTTTCTATTGCTACGATAAGCACCACAGCAAATGGCAACTTGGAGAGGAAAAGGTTTATTTGGTTTGCACCTACAAATGGCAGCCCATCATTAATGGAAGTTAAAGTAGGAACTCAATCATACATAGAGTCAGGAATTACAGAGGGACACTGCTTACTGCTCTGCTTTCCATGATTTGCACAGCTTGCTTTCTTAATCAAGCCAGGACCATCTGCCCAGGGCTATGCCATCTCGTACCAATTATTAATCAAGAAAGTCTCCCACAGACTTGCCTACAGGGCAACTTGATAAAGACAATTCCCCAAAAGACAAGTCCCCCTTTCCAGATGACTCCAACTTGTGTCAAATTGACAGAAAAATAACAAGCACATTTTTAAACTTTATTGCATAGATGATGCTCTATGAAGATTTTATATATTTATTTACTTTTACATTTTAATCCTAACTGAATATTCTCCTATGAAGTTTTCATATTGCAAAGGCATGTGTGTTGGCATATTGTGTCTGTACAGTATGGATAAAATTTTCATGTCTCTCTAGCAAGTTCTGGAGAATGCATTGTCCTATATCAGTTGAATCATAAGTACTCCAATCCTACGCTTCCATTCTAAATTCTTGACACCCTCCCAGAAGAGTCACTCACTGCTTATGAAGATGGTAGTTGCCAATGGCTAACCTCACAGCCCCTATCTTCTTCTACTCGGTGATGTTCCAAGTGTTTCCACTGTAGTCAGTACCTCTCTCATACTCATGAATGTCTGGATTATGGCTAAATTACCACTCTGTTAGTCACAAAATGGGGAAATTACATCCTCACACTGAGGAGATACCGATCTTTACAGGGCCCTTTTTACCTCCTCTCTCCTCTAAGATTTGTTATATACTTTAGGTTATAGAAAGCCTTGTCTCACGCTACATAGTTAAACTCAAATGATGTTATATATAAACACATAACATTAAATACTATACAACCTCTCAGATTTTTCTCTCTTACACACACACACACACACACACACACACACACACACACTGAACTCATTGAAATATAGAGTTGTAGAGTTAAATGGTGGCTATCAGAGGTTGAAGGTAGATAGAGAGGATGTGGAGAAAAGTGTTAAAGGGATAAAATGTTTTAGTCAGGTGGAAGAAATAAATTCTAATGGCATACTACCTAGCATGGTGACAGTAGTTAATAATGTATTTAATATTTCAAAATTGCTAAAGGAGTAGAGTCTAAATGTTTAAAAGTTGACAAGTAAATGGAGTGGTGGATACACTATTAGTCTGGTTAATCATTTTTAAATGTCTATCAATATCAGAATTTCAAATTATAAGCCAAAAAAGGTATACAATTAGTTTGCAAATTTAAAATTAAAGACAATATGCATGTTTACATATAAAAATCTACCATCTATCTATCTATCTATCTATCTATCTATCTATCTATAATCTGTCTGTCTGTTCACCATCTATCTATCTTTATATCTATCTATCTACCGAAAATCTCTTTCTAAGGGCTATGCCACTCAGGTCATTTCTGTTTTTAGAAACAGTATAACTAAGTACTAAGTTCATCTGACTCTAGGGCAGTGAATATTATTTATGAGACCAGAGAGAGCTCAGACACATGCATTTTGGAAGTCAGCAAAAGAGAATCAAGAAAGCTATATTTATATAAGCATTGATGAGGTCCAGATCTGATATGATTCTGAGATTACTAGAATGAGGAGAATGAAGAAGGGAGACATATAGAAATATGAACAAGGCATATTTCCCTCAAAGGTCTTTGCAATTTTGTTTACATAGGGCCAGTAAATTTTTGCCTTCTCCAGACACATGAGATACTTTCTGTCCTATGACCCAGAATACAGCTGTCCCCAGATGTTCTGTGGGTGTTAAGTCTCTTCACCCTAATGGTCTTTCATGCTCCTCGACCTATCTGTGCTCTCCATAACTAGGTACATATGCTCTATGTATAGAGGACAATTGTTTCTTAACTAATAGATTTTTATTTTAAAATTGTTAGATGTTGCAGAATGATCTGTCAACAGCACTTGAGATATCCAGGAAAGCTGTATAGAACAAGCTAGTTTGGTTGGCTTGGTTCCCCAGCCCTGCAGGGGAAAGCTCACATTCTCATATGAGACATGGGAGGGTAAAAGGGGAAGGGAAAGCAAATCTCTCTCTTGGATATTGGCCACTGCGGGGACCATAGAGCTTTTCCCAGTAAGTTATTTCTATATTTAATAAAATATCTTAGACCTCCTTTTCAGGTAGCATTATTTACATCGTCACCCCCTCCAGATAATCTTTTGATAAACATGGATTTTATGCTATCTACTGTATTTTCAAGTTCTTGGTAAAGTTGAAAGCTTGCTTGTTAGCACCCCCCATTAAACTGTAATAAATTCATGTTTTAAAAATTTTGTTCTTGCAAAGTACTGTAAGTTAGCAATTTCCTTTAAGATTGGATTTATCCCCTTGGCAACAACCTTGTGATGTTGAAGATGATGAAGATAGTGATTATCCTTAGCATTTTTCTTGTCCACTTCTCTCAAAGACCTCCAGATCTCTTTCAAAAATTAGAAGAATTCAGACTACACTCTTTAAAGTAGCTGATAGGGCTGGTAAGAACTTTAAACATTATTTTTTGACATTGTAGGTGTTAAATATGACTTCTCTGAAATCATTACATACCTATCAATTAGAAAGTTCTGCTAAAAATTAACATAGCATACTAAATGAATAGCTTTTGGTAAAATTGCACCTTAGAAAAAGCCTGAGTCAAAATGCAGTTCACTTCAATTGCACCAATATCATTTGGAACTGTTTGCCTACATCCGTTTTCTGAATCACATCTGTCCATTTGGAACTCAAAGTTCTTTAAATGTTTGTTTTCTAACAAGGCATGGTTTTATTATCCAAGGGTATGGGTGCTAAACTCATGACTATCTTTTATTATTTGTCTGTTTTTAATTGTGTAACATTTGATTTACAGAAGTCTATTACAACACAAAAAATCTTGATTCATATATAATATTACTAGTTATATTAAATGATTATTTTTTCTTATGATTTCTATGAGACATTCCAAAGTACAAAAGGAAAATGTACAATTTTAAGTAAATTTCTAGCAAATGAACTATATTCGTAGTTTCTAAAATATTTCATACTCATTACTTCACTGAATTTCTTTGAATCACTGGGAATTTTTCTCATATTACAGAGAAGAAATTGAAGACTTAGAGAAGCTAACAGATTTTCTAAAACCAAAGCAGACCATGTTAATTGTGATATGTAGCTAACATTCTGGTAGTATGTTCATCTTGCTAAAAATGAATTATTTTCCCTGGTAGTTTTAATTTATGATGTATGATTGGCCCATTCTGTTTTTGAACTTCAATTAACAATACAAATAATTCACGATCTTCCTAGAAAATCTGCACCTGTTTCCCACTCTCTGGGACTTGGTACTTGTGGTTTTTGTGGGAATCATTATTGTCATCATCATCTTTTTGTTGGCTTCAATGTTGTGATCATGGCAGCAACTGAAGCAGCATCTTAGGACTATACTGATATTCAGAATTATGTTAGGTGTGGGCATTGTACTAGATTAAGGCATATGAAAAGTAGTAGAACCAAGTAATGTATTCAGGAAAACAAGATAAAAAATGACAAATTATGGATTGACAATATCTTAATGGATAGAGTGGTTGCTAAGCAAGGGTGAAGACTTGTGTTTGAATCTCAATAAATTACACAAAACTGGGGGTAGTGTTGGCCCTCTGTAGCCAAAGTAAAACACGATCAGAGTTGGAAAGAGGAGAACTCTCTAAAGATCATGAGATGGTTAACCTGGCATACATATGTGTAAGAGGCAGGGGTGAAGAACCAAGAGTCTGTTGCAAAGAAAGTGGAAAGTGTGGAAAGACACCTAATGTCCTCTGACTACAATATATGCATGATAACAGGCACATATCCACACTTGCACACAAATCATACACACACACACACACACACACACACGAAAGCAAAGTGATGTGTGGATGACAGAATATATTCGCAGGTCTAAGGAGGCTTTGCATACTCATTGGTTCTAAGAGATAAGTGTAAGAATATTCACAGTAGTTGTGTCCAATGGCATCAAAATGCAAACCCACGTGTGGGTCAGTAACAGCTTGGTTAATGAAACTGTGATACAAGTATGTAACAGAACACTACACAACAAAGAAAATGAACAGCATACAATCACACTCAACAATATGAGATTACTATAATGAATAATGTCCTAAAAATGAACCCCCCCCCACACACAAATGTGGCAAAAGGTCCATTTCCTTAAAACTCAAAGTCAGGGACAAGTACAATGTATTGTTTAGAAGTTATAGACTTGGGTGAGAAAAGAATTGATTGAAAAGGCAAGATGATGGCTCATTCAAGATGGCTAAAGTTTGGAAGGTGATGAGGAGACCTAATAGCTGCACATTTTCACACCTTGTGTCACCTCTGGGTACTGGTGTCATGAGTAATATTTTCCTGAGTCTATGAAGCCAGAAAATTACATTTCATGCACTTTTTAAAAATGTAGGCAAGATCTGCAGTTAAAGGTTCTTTAAAATAAATGTGACAAGAGAGGAGTTTGAAATCACTCTGTGAGAGACACAAGAAAGTAATGAGGAGAACAAAAGAAAGATGGGGGAGAAAGTAGACCTTGCTGTTTTGGAGTAATGTCAGAATAAACAGACCCCAAAGGAAGTTCAGGAAGACCTCCTAGTGTGTTGTTATGATGAGGCTCCTCTTCTGTAGCTTTCTTGAGACCTGTGGAAAGGTTGATACTGCTTTCTGATTAGATGTAGTACTTCAGTGAAATCAAAGAATGCTTGGCACAAAAGGAAAATAAAAGCCAAGTTGGTAGAATAGAAACCAAGCAGTAGGCGGTCAACCTGTCTAGACTTTAGTTCTCTACTGTAAAAGGATAATACTACTTACTCTATTGTGATTTAGAGAAAATAACAAGCAGACAGGTTGAAATTGGGAAGTCGGTGGGCCAGTTGGGTTTTGTATTTTCTTTCATGACTTTGAAAAGAATTATTCTTCACTCATTAAAACTAAAGTCAGTAGAATCAGATAATAAAAACAATGAACAAAAAAGATCACCACCACCACCACCACCAACAACAAAACATTACCAATCTGGTTTTTCTAGGAAAGAGAAAATTTGACCATGATGGACCTCATTGTTAGATGACAAAGTTATCCAGCACAGGGCAGCACATATCCCTGTCAATAAGGGTGTCGTTTCCCTAGGGCCACCATTACACCCTCTCATATTTTCTTATCTTTCAGTTGCGTTCCTCTTTAATATTCTCTTGACATTTAGGCTTCTACATTGGCAACCTAGAGCAGCACTGAAATGAATCTAAGTATTGTCTTACTTCTTTCATGATTTTAAAGAGTTGTTGGCTGTATCTCTTAACTTCCTATTTCATTGAGGAACCCTCCCAATAATCCACCCCTTTAATAATGATAATTTCTGCAAGTCATGCATTTTTATACCACGATTATGGCTCTCATATAAATGTTGCACTTGTACCATGTTACCAACCATGACACTTAAATAGTAGGGCTGCTGACAAGCAATTCAACTATAGGTACTGCTTACCATGTGGGAGATGGCTAAGGAAGCCTGCTGCCAGGTGTCCATTACTATCTTCTCATCTACCTCAAAGTTAGATTCCAAACCTTCTAAGGAGGGATCGATCTTGCCCTTCAGTAATGCTTTCACCTTTGGTTTGATGGTAACATTTTCTGGAGAACTGGATATTCGAGGAACTACAGGAATTCTTTGGGGGAGGAAAAAAAAAACAAACCAAAGAAACATAAGGGTTTCATTTAACAGAATTCTATTTCTGTGACAGTGTTAGTTTGTGCCTCTTTGTTGTGTTGCTTTAATTCACACTTCCAAGGTCTTCTTAGAAGAATTATTTTGAAGGGCTATGATTGGAAAATGTTGTATTAATCACATTTATGTGGCCTACAAAATCTTGCTAATAATAGAAAACTCGCAGCAAGCAGTAATAAGACATTTCAGATTAAGTTCTCAATAATTAAAAGAGGAGGGTTAGATAAGTCATTATGAAGAAAGACCCCCCCAAATGCCTCCTTTTGTCATATTTCTAGGGCATGTCTTCTCATGAAGGCAAATCAGTATGGGAAAAGTAAACCTAATGAAACTTATTCAAGATGGTCAATAGCATAGTAAACAGAGGTGATGTTTGTGTGGATGTCAAAGTGAAGCTTCAGAAGCCCTTCCCTTCCTCGCTTATGATAGAGGGGGCTTTCTCTTCCTCAGGCGCTATGGCGAAACACATGGCTGAAGCTTGTTCTCCACCTTCTCTCATTAATATTCACGTGGAGGTCTTAGAACAATTTCTGAGAATATACAATCATTGATCCTAGCATCTCAGGGGTTAACTCAAGTATAAGGAATCACCTAGGGTAGAGTGTTCATTTGTAATTGGGGTCATCCTCTAGTGACAAAAATATAAAGGGCCTTAAGTTTGGAGAAGGAATTGGAAAATAGTAATTCCAAAAATGACTTGGCTGAAATTTTAACAAGTGAGTCTGTTGTAATTTAAGAAAAGCACACATGAGAGGAAGATGCCATGTGACAGGGTTCAAGCATAGGGTTTTTTTTTTTAATTGGGGAAAGGGAGAAGGGAGACTGACCTCCGAAGATAGGAGCAGCAGGAGAGAGGAGAAAGGAAAGACAGGGGGAGAGAGAGAAAGGAAGGGAGAGAGGTAAACAGGCAGAGAGAGGGAGAGAAAGAGAGAGAGAAGGATGGGGGGTGGGCATGGCCCTTTCAAAAGGGAATGCAGTGAATGTGCAGAGGTGGTGCTCTGAGTGGCTGCAGCTGAGGGTGTATCCTGTCAGAACCCCAAGGACAGGCCAGTACAGATGCCTGGATACTAACAGTATCAGGACCAACAGCAGGAATAATATTTGTTTTTATAGAATCAAGAAGGTGGGATTTGGAATACGTATTTAGAAAGATAATTGTGAACTCTGGAAAACATCTAGCTTTCTCTTGTTTGGAAGTATCGAATGAGATTTCTTGAATTGACACTTTGATTTTCACAGTGTGTGAAGGTTTGAATGAGAATGCCTCCATAAATTCATGTATTTCAATGCTTAATCCTCATCTGATGAACTGTTTGGGAAAGGTTAGGAGTGGTGATTTTGGTTGCTGGAGTAGGTATTACTTTGTTGAAGAATATGTGTTACTGGAGGTGGACTTTGAAATTTCAAAAACCAATGCCAGGCCCAGTGTCTTTCTCTCTCTTCCTGCAGACCAGGGTGTAAATCTCTCAGCTACTGCTCCAGTGCCATGCCTGTCTGTTTCCCACCAGGATGATCATGAACTAACCCTCTAAAACTGTAATCAAGCTTCCAATTAGATGCTTTCTTTTATAAGAGTTTCTTTGGTCATACAATATCCTCACAGTAGTAGAGCAGTAACTGTTAGTATTCAGGCATCTGTACTGGCCTGTCCTTGGGGTTCTGACAGGATATGCCCTCATCTGCCGCCACTAAGAGCACCACCTGTGCACATTCACTACCTTCCCTTTTAAAAGGGCCCTGCTCACCTCCCATCTCTCTCTCTCTCTGTTTCTCTATCTCTCTGTTTCTGTCTCTCCTTCTCTGTATCTGCCTCTCTCTTCTCTTCTGCTATTTCTGTCTCCAGAGGCCACTCTCCCCCATTCCCTCCCCATTCCCCATTCCCTTCCCTCTAATAAAAAACCCTCCACATGAGCTCTGTCAAATGGTGTCTTTCTCTCTTATGCCACTTTTTAAAATTACAACAGTAACTATGACTTAGTACTTGAAGTTCTGATGATTTAACGTAACTATAAAGGCAATGCACTGAAAATACACTCACACATTGAATTATATCTTGATATCCAATTAATGCTAAATCAAAGCTATTCAAGTTCCAAGTTCGTTTGAGGTAGATGTGTGTGTGTGTGTGTGTGTGTGTGTGTGTGTGTGTGTGTATGTGTGGCCATCTGTAGACACTTCATATAGTACAAGACTTTGCTTTGCAGGACAGTAGTCATGACATGTCACTTAGGAATTCTTTGGGTTTATGACCCACTAATTTTAACCAGGATCATCTATCTGTATGGCCACGGATTTGGAATTATCCGCTGGAGTTTGGAGGCTTACTGCTTGTCACATACTGAAGACAATGACTGTCTCTTCCTAAGAATCTATCAGTTGCCAATAGTTTAGCAGAGGGATAAGATGCTATGAGCTCCTATCATACCCATGTGTGGCTGTTTACAGGCTCAGTCTTATTCAGGCCCAGTCCTGGCAACTGAAGCTCCTGTGGAGTTTTGTTTGCAATGGCAACACACACACACACACACTCTCTCTCTCTCTCTCTCTCTCTCTCTCTCTCTCTCTCTCTCTCTCTCTCTCTCTCTCTCACACACACACACACACACACACATCCTGATGGTGGCATCTTCTAGCCTCTATATTTCCTTCCTCATACATTCTTTCCACTTAATCCTTCTGTAGTATTCCCTGAGTCTTTGATGGTGTGGTATAAACGTCATGTTTAGGGTTGAGTGCTCATTTATTCTAAGTCTCTTGAGTAGGCATGAGTCTATGTACTCATGGGGAGGAGAAGAGAATGACTATTGTGCGAGGGAGATAAGAGAGGTGAAGAGTGATACTAATAAGAACTACAAGCATACGAAATTGCCTAAAACCAATTTTAATCAATACAAACAGAAAGGGGGGTTATGGAAATGAGAACAAAGGCAAATGTATAATAAATCTATATTAAAATTATGGGTAGTTTTTGATGAAAATGAGCTTAGAATTCATTTATTGGCAGGAAAATCCCTGTTCTATAGGTAGTTATGTCACTATCAGGAGATATGAAATTAGGTATGCTACTTGAATTTTTGAGCCTCACTTCTTGGAATAATGCAAACACTGTATTATCATGGTTGTTATCATGAATAATTCTTTATTAACTAGTACAATTATTATTTTGAAAATATTATGTGGCTACCATTATTGTTATTATGGGGTTGTTGGAAGGAATGAAGTAGAAAAACTATGTAAAACTGGTTAACACTGTACTTGTTTCTATCTATATGTTATAGACTGTGGGTGCTTGGTTGGTAACTGGTATTTGTATTAACTGACTGATCGTCTCAACAGTCTTGCCACAGCAGTGATTTGAGATTGAGATTGGTACAAAGTTGCTCTGCAAAAAATAAGAACTGTCTGTTCTTCTGTGGGCTTATTGTACTAACCAACATTAATAGCTTCCCCATTATGCCTGCTTTGCTATTGTGTGCCAAGAACAGAATGCACTCCCACTATAGACACTGAAACTTGGTCTCCTGGTGATTCTGATGGTTCCTATTGCCTCTGGTATTTATTATTGTTCTGATTTCTGCATTTTTAGCAGATTGTTCAATGTTTTTCTTTTATTTGGGACAAGAAAAGGGTGTATATATGTGCCTGACAGAAATGTAGCATTAGATGAAAGAATCTTAGAGTGAAGAAAATGTATCTTTGATCATTGCAAAACCTGTGTGGCAAAGCCATCTCCAGTTATTTTTGGAACAAGGGAGGGATAAACAAAGTGAGAACATACAATACTCACCATTAAAAATTGCATATAAGCATGAGTAAACCATTATATACTATCTAATAACAAAAGAGGCCATTCTTTATTAAGTTTTTGAGGACCAGGGTTTACATGTTTCAATTTCCAGACATGATCCCATGGATTTTGTAGATGCTATTTTCTGTAGTTTTCATAACCTTGCTTTCACAAGAATGGAAATGGAAGCTTAGTTTGAGATGTAGTGACTTGACAGACCAGTGAGTTATCTTAACCCACTTAAGTACAATTAGTAAGAGACAGACTCAGGATTTAAACTAGACCAATCTGGTTTCAAAATATGTTCATTCTGCTAAGTTTTGCTTTTTGCTTACACAACTCTTGTACCTATATTGACTAAATAAGCATCTAGGCAAAGAGGCTTCTTTTAAATATAAAATACATAGCTCATGTGATTGGAGGTTTAAATATATCATTCAGTGTCTTCATTTCATTTTGTAAATCTAACATCTGCCTGTACTTCCATCTTCATGTCTTCTTTTCTCATGCTTGGCTTAATGATCACCAGGAAATACTGTTTTAAATTTCCCTACACCTTAAACTTATTTTCAAATAACACATTTACTCCTAAATGATATTGAATTCTGTTTCCAAGGGCTTTATCTTAAATCATATAAAAGTAAGTAAAGGTAGATCTTAGTGTTTAGTGGCTGGAAGCCACACCATGGGGATCACTATCACTCCCTTTACCCTAGCCTTTCCTGATGGCATCTTCTCTGTCACGTACATCCTCACTGAGTCTGAGATATTGTCCTTTCTCTCCAGTGCTCATCTACTATATCTATAAAAAATTTACTATGTTTTTATTGCAGATCCTTAATTTGGCCAAAAATGTAGTTTGTCTTCATCCTACCACTAAGTTCCTGTTTCTGTTGGCAACAATCTGATTTAGATTGTTAGTATCTTTCAGTCTTGTGAGGTCATGATCACATACCGTTTGACTTTTACTACTTCTCGATTTCCTCTCCTATAAATGAAGAATGGCAGTCCCTTCCATTTTAATTTACACAAACTGTCTCTCTCTGTCCTCCCCCTTTCTCTCTTATACACAGACACGCACAGGGACACAGAGACACCCCCCACGCATTCCTACATATACCCCCTACCCCACTGTCTGGTTCTTTCCTTTAAGTTTCTAATCCCTCACCAGAGGTCTTTGGGGCTAAATGTATCTCGGAATAAAGAAGTGACATAGTGCCTAGTATCCACAGCAGAGTTCTGTAGAAAACTACACAGAAAACAAGTGATACCTCTCTAACCAAGGGAGGAAATATTTATCAATAACAAGATAAATAATCATATCATGTCAAGTTAAGGTAACATCAAAGTTAGAAAAAATAACTCAGCTTTTAGAACATTTTGGGGTTTCCATTAATAGGAGCATAATTTATAATTGAAAAACCACAGTGCTGTATGTTCAAAGCAATTACAGTGTAACACAATTGTTTGCCTTACCTAAGCTGGTTTTCTGAAATATCTTTACCATCAAGCTGAACCAATGGTATCCGAGTAAATTTCTTATTGTCTTCTAGTGGGATTTTGGATTCCATTGCTCTGTAATAATCTTGGAGGAGTCTTTTGGTATCTTGGAAACGGTTCACTTCTGCCTTTAATACAGAAAGTGGATATCAATACTCAACTAAGAAGAGACTAATCTATATGTATTTCTGTGCTATATATGTATACTGTAAAGAAAAATTTAAACTATGTTGGTTGAAAGTAATTTCCCAGAAATTAAGGAAGACCCTTGGTTATTTCCTTGTCCCTAAAGTTTTCATAATTATTTAAGAAAGCAAATGACTTTGCATTCTATATGTTTACTGACTGTAATTCCATTTAAGCAAGTGATAGTTTTATACCTTTTGAAAATTGGCACTAGAAATTCTTAAATCAACAACTGAAGTAACTTCTTTGTCCTAGCAATAATTCAATTGCTTTGTGGGTACCACAGATGCTGTATGTACAAGAACAAAATGAAACCAATACTAGGTTCTTTTCCCCTGCTACAATACAAACTATTTGTGGAAACACAATAAAAAAGAGAACAATGTGAAACAATTCTCTCTGTACAGTTTCCTGTCTTGCTTAATGTGAACAGGACAGACATAACTCAACTGCTCCAGTCCTCTTTGCTAAACTGCTTTGTTGGAGTTGCTAGAAGAGACCTTGAAGGAAATCGAGTGATTCAGAGGAGTTGGTTGTGAAACAATTGTCTCCCTGTCAGTGAACGTTTACCCTTGTGACACACATGCACTGGGCAGTGGACTGTGAGTCCCTAAACAATTTTAATGCTACAAATGTAGAGCCTAGATTTCCAACTGAGTCTGTCTATTACATCATATGATATACTTGTCCTTCTCTTTGGTGAAGTATCTATTACTCCCAGACTTTTTGTTGTTGGTGGTGGTGGTTGGGTTGTGTAGCAAATATGTGAAGCCATAAATGATGAACCTTGTATGCAGAGGCCATACATGATATCTAGTTGATTGAAGAGAGAGAGAAATTTTTTCTTTTTAAAAGAGCAGTGTTTAAAGTTTTTTTGCTGAAGGTAGCCTAAGGACATAAACCAAGGGATTACATATTACTTGGAGGCCTGTTCTTTTCTGAGGGGAAACAGGAGGAGAGGGGAGCAGTGGGATCTGGGGGAGGGGAGAGGTGGCTAGAGGAGACAGCGGTGGGACAGGGAATGGGAGGAGGGGAGGCTAAGTCTGGATGTATTATATGAAAGAAGAATAAAGAAAAAGAAAAAAAATGTTTCCAAACTATCCATGTGACTTGCATTACCACAGTCACAGTTGACAGCAAAGGGTTGCCTGTTTCTGCATGGTAGTGTGCAATATAAGAATAACAGGTGCAGGCTGGGCGTTGGTGGCCATGCCTTTAATCCCAGCACTCGGGAGTCAGAGGCAAGCAGATTCCTGTAAGTTTGAGGCCAGCCTGGTCTATAGAGCGAGTTCCAGGACAGCCTCCAAGACAAAACAGAGAAAACTTGTCTTGAAAAATCAAAAAACAAACAAACAAACATAACAAAACAAAACAACAAAAATAACAGGTGCAATATGATTGTTTTAAAGAGAAAATTATTAGATGCTTTATTTCTGATTTTTACAATATTAAACTCTTCTAGCTAAATGACTTGAACAAGAGGAAATTTATTTCATTACTTTGGGTCTGCATTATAAAATAAAATGAACATTTGCATATTATTTTAAATTACAGGAAGTTTTATATATGAGCACAGTACTTTGAAATGGTCAAGAAATCTATGACATATTTCTTTAACACTGAGTTAAAATATTCACACACAGAATAATCCCATGGTTTAAAGAAAATCACTGGCATATGCCATGTTTCAGTTTGGTAAAATTGCAGGGAAAATTGTTTGATTAAATTATACTCACAGGAACTCACACAATATCATATTTACAATGAATAATATGCAAATATAAACTTACCATGTAGATATTGATTATTGACAATTTGGGAAACTGAAGAAAAATATGTGTGTGTGTGTTTACGAAAAGCTGTTAGTCATTGAATTAATACACTGTAGTAAGAAACCTGAGATGTGTTTCTTTTTTAAATTAGAGCATTGAACTATTCACTAATTACTAGGTTTGGGAGACCATAGTTTACAGACTCAGTCTTTGAAACTCTCCTGGTTTCTGTCCCTAAGACTTACATTATGACAGTAATTGTTTTATATAAAATACTAACTCATTTTAAGGGGAACAACTTGATTCAAATATAAACGAATTTGAATAGGATATCAGACCATTTTCAGAATTCTCCTCTAAGAAAACGAATTGTGATTCCTTTCATATTTATAAAAAGTAAATAACCCTCTGCTATGTGACTTCTTTGTTGTCGGGGTTTCAGAATTTGCTCTCTTTTTTGTGTGGCACTCTGGATTGAGCCTAGGACCTCCAGCATTCTAACCAAGCACTTTTACTTCATGTTTGACCTATGTTCCCAGCCTTCTGATTTATTTATTTCTGAGATGGGATCTTACTACGTTTCCCGGACTAACCATGAACTCCTTGTGGGCCCTGGTCATGTGATCCTCCTTCCTTAGCCTCTTGGGTAGGTGTGCCTTACAGGTGTGCAGAACCAGTGCCAGCTTAGAAAGGCCTCTCTAAACTTTACTGTGTGGAGAACTTGCTGCAGAGGCTGTCCATCAATGTCTTGTTGGAATGAATGAGCAAAAACTTTCCATGGTCAAGCAGGTTTAGAAATTCAACACTTATGTGCCAGAACGATTTCTTTACCCATGGAGCATCTTAGTGCCCGGCTATGTTAGCAGGCTTGTCTGTCTCCCAGGGGAGGCAGATAGGTAGCATTATGCAGCACTTCCCAAAGTCACTTATGTAATTACAACGTTTTTCTAGATCAGCTTTGGAGGCAAGTCTCCGGGGAACCTATTTGGGCAAGCAATTATCTAGCTGTTTGTGAGCTAGCACACTCAACTGAAGGTTTTCTCAAGATTTTGTCCGTGTGCTGAGATGAAAATTTCTCTTGAGCTTGTGCACCTTTCATTTTTACAGGGTTTATTGTGTGCTGCCACACAAAGCTCTCTGTGTTCTCCCTGTGAAACTGTACAACTTGAACAATGTGGTTGACATAGTAGTGTTCCAGAAGGAGTACTGACTCTGCGGGTATGGTCAGTCCAAATTCCTGCTCCTTCTTTCCCTTACTAGATGCAACTATTGGGCCCGGAGTTCTGCCTCAGTTGGCTTCAGTTTCCTTCTCTATGCAATGAGGATGACAATAGAACCTCCAGCATGATGCTGCCATGATAGTTACTGTGTTCTCCTGGAAATTTCTGAGAGTAGTACCCGGCATGTAGTCTGCTATTCTATTTTATTTTGTCTTGTAGGCTGTGGAGAATGGGTCAATGTCTCAAATTATATATGAATGAACTACAGAGTCTTATCTAGACCACAGGAGTCATTTATGGCTCTGACACATGAAAATGACTTACAAATATCTGCTGTACCTTCATTATTGGATTGTAGCTACTTCTTACATAACATTTGGTAAAATCTGTTCATAATATTTTCTTTCTATGTGTTCAAATTGATACCCCAAGCTTCTGCTCAGATGAGTTTAGGCTACTTGTATACTTCACTTATTCCTTTGTGTAAACTATGCATTAGGGAGCTAAGTGTACTCCTTAATACACTTAATAATATGCTTAAGAATGTCTCAGAATTGTCATTTGGTTGAAACTTTTAAATCTCTCTTATCCTCATAGTCCAGATTTGCAGCATGCTTTCACAGTTTTCCTTGTTCTGATATCCTGATTTCTTTAAGCCTTCCACATGGAGATAAGATAGTTCTTCTTCATTCATAGGGGGTACACTTCAATTTCTTTATTTAATACCTGACTAATACCTTTGTTTCTATACAGAGAACATACAGTGTTGACACAATGAAAAAGGGAAACTTTTCATTCCAAGTAAGATGAAACAGAATAAATTGGTGCAAAATGGAACATCAAAAGATTTACCTCATCATTGCTGACACAAAGCACTGCTTAGTTCTACCGGATATAAGAGACAGTTTATTCTAAGCAAAATGTGAGTGGATGGTCTGTACCTTCCAAGTTAATCAACTACAGATTCATTCTTCCCTTTACTGTTCTGTCAACAAAAATTAAGCATAGCTTGACTAAGATAGCCTTGATAGAACCCTAAGCACCTCTAATTTTAGACACACTTTTGCCAGACTCTCAATCCCTGTTCTCCATCAATACTTCAGGAAACCGGTCCATTGTAAACCTCTTTCTTGGTGTTTTTGAAACACACATTTGAAGAGAGGCCTTTTATCAGTTTTGTAAGCCAGGAATGCCTTCCTCAAGATCAGAAAACCCTGCCTTTGAATTATAGTTATTTCCCATGACAGTATTTCAAGTCCTATATGAGGGGAGGAAAGTGACTGCTGTGAATGTCTTTATCACAAACCTATCTCCTGCAATGAAGACAGGAGGAATTTCAATTAATAAACAAAACTGGGGCTGGAGAGGTGTCTCAGGGTTAAGAAAGTATACCACTCTTTCAGAGGATTATAGTTCCCAGCATCTACATTAGGTGGCTCATAGCTACCAAAAACCCCAACTCTGGAAGGGTCCAAAGTTTTCTTCTTGTTTACACGGGCACTGAGCAGGTGTCAAAAGCCACACTCTGACACACAGATACACATGTATTTAAAAGCTTAAACAATACAAAGAAAAGACAACTCATCTCTCTCCTCATCCTGTCTCAAGCCTAGATCTCTCAAAACCTATCTAAAGGCACTTTGTTTTTGGGGGACCTAGCAACTAAAGGCCCAAAGGCTGATCTGCACTTTCTCTCCTGGTCATAGCAATTGTACGCAGGGTTGTAATGTACTTACCCCCCCTCCCCCAAATTATGGCAGGGCAGCTTTCTTGGGCTAAGGTAGCCACTTTTAAGTATTTGCCAGTCTGATCAAGTAAACACCCCAGCTGCTGGCAGTGTCCCTGCAATCTCACAGAATATACACAGGGAAGCAGAAATGGCCAGTAGCTGCTTGAGACGTGCCGTCTGTGTGGTTGCTTGACTGAGACAAAACAAAATGTTTAAAAAAATTTGTTAGCTAATTTTCTTTTTTTTATTATTTTTTTATTTTATTTCCAGTTTAAATTTAGATAAGAAGCAAGGTTGCTTCACAAGTCAGTTAATTTTCTTGGAAAGCCACAATGCATAACAGGCAGATAATGCATACCACATAGGGTGTTATGAGCAAGATGATCCTTGAGCAGACCCCTAACATTCCCGAGGGAGGTGGAGACCCCTAACATTCCGGAAGGAGGTGGTCCATGAGGATTATGGCTGCAAAGGGAGTCTGTGTCACTGTCTGGTTGCTCCTACCTGCATCAGGGAAAAGAAGTGATTCATTGTTATCCCGACAGAGTCCTGCAGCCAGCTCTCGTTAATGATGTCAAGCCTCTCCTGTTCTGCCTCCTCCTTCCTGGCATCACAGATGTCCCACAGGCGGTCTCGCAGATCCTGAGTGGGAAGACAAACAGCACGACTGTGCTTGAGAGTCGTGCCTTGTACAGCTTCAGTACCATGCACCTGAGCTCTTTTGCTTCCGGAGATGTCCCTAAAGGAGCCGTGCCTAACAAGTTTGTGTGTTAGAGTCATTTATTCAGATGACAGTCACACCTCTTGTTCTCTCCGACCATACGCCCACAGTTCTCACAAACCCATTCCCATCCCCTTATCCATGGATGGATCTATTTGTGTATTAGAGTTTTGTTAATAAGCTTGTTTGGTTGAAAATCACTTTGTGTGAATTAAAAACAACAACATCAGCAACAATTGTCTATTGTTAGTGGAAAAAATACATTGTTGCATTTGGACCAAGGGTATTAACTTGTTAACTATCAGAGATAAGGAATGACCAGAACAATGTGTAAGCTTAATGGAATGCAGAGTTCAGCAGGATACCAGATAAAGAACAGTAAGGAAGACTATGAATAGAACAATATATAACATAATGTTTATACAAAGCAATTGGTCTGTAGTATGCGCATCTGGGATATTTCATTTATTTTATAATTTATATATAAGTATGCCTAAATTTTAATGTCAAAATTATGGTGGCTCTGTGTATTGGTTTATTCTCATATGTGTTGTTGATGCATTTGCATCACCCATCGGGTGCCTGAAAGCAACAGTAGGTACCTCATTATCTTTATTTTTATAAGAGGACACTGGGTCATAGGGAAGGCATTTTTCCTTGGGTGAGTAAATGGTGAAGCTAGAATGTGAATCTTCCAGCTTCAGTAATGTATAGCTCTAGGTTACACATCAGAATTGATAGTAGATAAAAGAAGAATTCAAGACAGAAAGGGCATTAGAGGCTGTAGTGGTTGTTATATTGTTTCTAAGTACAAGATACACTTGATCATTCTGTCTTCATGAGTCCAACCATACTTCCTTGGAGTTTAATGGAGAGCTTAGATGCTTGGACATAGATACCACTGCTGCCACCTACCATGTTGATCTCCTTGCCATATTTTTTTCACCTATAAAATGTGATAGTTACTGGTGAATACCTAGGATCATGGATGTGCAGATAAAATTAGATAGTGACAACAACAAGCGCATGCTCAGTGTTTAGAAGTGACTGCTGCTAATTATATAATCAATGTGTAAAAACCATAGGAAGGAAAGGGGACACAAATGTCTTAGTCATAGTAGTTTTAAAGTCTTCGTATTTTCAATATGAGAGTATGAAAGGATAGAGCTGGGTTTTCAACTAACATTACCTATAACACTTGAAAAACAAAACAGATATGAAGCCTGACATGGTGGAGCACACTTTTAAACCCAGGACTTTGGGGGGGGAGGGCAGAGAAAGGCAGGTCTGAATTTGAGGTTAACCTGGTCTATATAGCCCCAGGGTGACAAAGAGAAATCCTGTCCTGAAAATCCAAAAGAAAAATGTATATACATTATCCTTATCTCAAATCTACATTTATTTATGGCATCAAGGGAAGTCTAATTCTGTTTAGGCATAGCCATTTTCTCTACTGTGTACTCCTGCTGAGGATCTATTGTTTAAACGGCTTACAGTATTTTCAGTGAGATTTCTTAAGTCCAAACATACTGAAACTTTCAAATAGAAACCATACTTGATTCCTAGAATCCATGAATATATCCTAATAACAAAAGTTTACTCAGAGGAATATGTACTGTCTTGTTCTCTCCTGGCATGTTTGTCGGCAATGATTTTGCCTGTCATCTGGGTTGATATTTTAATTTTAATGTTTATTTTCCTTATTTGTCAAGTAGTTGAGTTATGCTTTTTATTCTTATTAATTCATTTCTCCTTTGTCAAGTTTAATTTCTATATTCTTTTTGAAACTATATTTACATATTTTCATGTATACACACAAAATTAATCAAAGTAAATAAATTCTCTCTCACACACAGACTATATATGTGTATATATAATGAGATCATCAAATACACACATGTATATTGTATATTATCCAGTGCTAATATCTCTGAGGGTAATCTTAAAATATTTGTCTAGCTTTTTGTAAATAATTAAAGAGGTCTCTATTATAGTTATATATTTCAAATAGTTAAAAGTAAAATGGGTAAAAATAAAGGTGAACTTGTATTTAACCCTAGGTTGGAATACTTTTTAATTGGTCATTAAAAACACCATAGTGAAAATTTCTATATTTATTTACATAAACTTTAAAAACTCTCTGCATAAAACCTCATTTCAAATAAGCAAATGTCAAACTGGAAATATATTTATATTATTAATGAATGGTAGTTATCCATAATATATAAAGAAGACATACTAATCAATAAGAAAAGGAGCTGATTTCAGGAGAAAAGTAAGTATAAATCACAATCAGGATCCAGAAAGACTAACTTCAAATGCAAAATAAAAAATGCAAATTTTAAGAACCATTTATGTTTTACCCACTAAAGTGGAAAAAATTTAAACATAAGATAGAATTAATATTGGGTGCATTCATAGAATCTGTTGCTTAAAGTAAAACTGAACTCTATTGTTAATTTTTAAACTAAAGTGAAAATAGGAATTTGCAAGTTCTCAATGTCTCAAAAATATGAAACATAAGCATAATAAGTAATTTTAACTTTTTACTTATATCCTTAAAATTTAGTCCACTAAGTTATTTATTATTAATGGTGTCAGTATGTATGTAGCTGGTTGAAATTTTATATTAAAAATTGGTACATAACAAAGTTTTTTGGGAAAATTAATAATGGAGACATCTCCAATGAATTATAATAATGTTCACTCGTCATGCCATTTAGTCATAAAAATGTTTTAAATGAATTTTTATTCATTAATAAAACAGGTATTAATGAATAAAAATGGTAAAAGCAGTATGTGTATTGTGGTACCATTTTTTTGAAAATAATTAGAAATGATAAGTATATTGCATACACCTAGATAATAATAGCAGTGACAATTGGCAAAGATTATGTTTTCTTTAATAATTTTTACTTATTGTTTAGTTTATCTACAAGAAGAATATGGGGCACTTGGGCTTAGAAACACATGACTTATTCAGACTACTAAATGTCACAGTTCTCTGCCCATAACTATATACTATGAGAAAGAGACATACAGGAGAGCTACTTTAGGGTTGGATTTATGAATGGTTGGGCAAGAGATAGAAACAACAAGCAGTTGTAGGATTTATAGATGCATGAATTTTTCCCCCTTGAGACAGGGTTTCACTGTGTAGCTCTAGTTGTCCTGGAACTCACTGTGTAGACCAGACTGGTCTCAAGCTCACACGGATCTGCCTACCTCAGCCTCCTGAGTGCTGAGATTAAAGGCATGTGCCACCACTGCCTGGTTTATATGCCTGATTTTGAGGAATGGTTAAGAATAGGTAACAGGAAAACACCACTTAGGTTAAAACCTTTGGCACCTCCCTGTCACCCAAGCCTTGCTGTTTCTGTGAGCCAATCACAAATTGGTATCCCAACTGGTTTTCCTGATCTATAACTTCCCACAGGAGTTTTTAAACCCATAAATCAAGGTCTCTTGTCTATATTATAAAATAACCCCAGGTCTTAGGTAACATGGCCTCACACAATCTCTCTGATCTCGTCAGTAGCCTCTCATCTGTGCTCACTTTGCTCTCTGCCTTTTGATAACCTCCACACACATCAAGACTCCTCCTGATCTCCATGCCTTTGTTCCCCACTCTGACTGAGAAACCTTCCTCTGAATAAGCATGTTGTTCACTATGGTATTCCTGTCCATAGTTTGTTATAATATCTCTAAGCAGGATTTTCCACATCCACAACAAGCAAAATAGTTACAGAAATGCCTCAGCCTCTTGTCTGTTTCCTTGATACCATCATAGATTTAAAAAAATAACAAGCAAACATAATAACACACTCACCTTATGGTTATTGGTTTTTGATTATTCTGTCTTTTGGCTACCAGCATGGAAATATTTTTGAGTCATAGACTTTGTGTTCACCTGTTAAACCCTAGCCCTGTGGACATAATAAATGATTTACTATTTTCTGAACAAATGATGAACACTGGGGTAGAATTTGGCAATCTACTTGTTACACAAATGAATATAGAGATACCTTGTATAGAAATTTCCTCCAAGTTGATACATTTGATCTTGGAAGGAAGCTGCTTAAGAGTCAGGATATTCTAGGTCAGGTGTGGTACATATATCATTAATCCCAGCACTTGACAGGTAGAGGCATGGGTATCTATGTGAGTTTGAAATCAGCCTGATCTACACAGTAAGCTTTACATCATCTTAGGCTATTAAGTGAGATTTTGCCTCAAACAAACTCACTCACTAAAGATGTTCTAAAGGGAGATGAAATATTCCGTCTTGTAGAGAAATAGCTCCTTAAGACTCAGGAAAGGCTGATCTCGAAAATTTACAAAGAACTCAAGAAGCAAATCTCCAGAACACTAGGGATCCAATTAAAAAGTGGGTACAGAACTAAATAGAGAATTCTCAATAGAGGAGTTCAAAATGGCCAAGAGACACTTGAGTAAGTGCTCAACATCCTTAGCCATCAGGGAAATGCAGACCAAAACAACTCTGAGATACCATCTCACTCACATCTGAATAGCTAAAATCAAAAACACTAATGACAGTTTATGCTGGAGAGGATGTGGAGAAAGGGGAACACTCCTCCACTATTGGTGGGAATGCCAACTTGTGCAGACACTTTGGAGATTGGTATGGAGATTGCTCAGAAAAATGGAAATCAGTCTACCACAAGATTCAGCAATTCCACTCTTAGGCATATACCCAAAAGATGTACCCTCATACAATAAGGACATCTGCTCAACTATGTTCATAGCAGCATTATTTGTAATAGCCAGAACCTGGAAACAACCTAGATGCCCCTCAACGGAATAGAGAAAATGTGGTACATTTACACAATGGAGTACTACTCAGCAGAAAAAAACAATGGAATCTTGAAATTTGCAGGCAAATGGATGGCACTGGAAGAAACCATCCTGAGTGAAGTAACCCAGTCACAAAAAGACAAGCATGGTATGTACTCACTCATATATGGATTTTAGACATGGAGCAGGGCATTGCCAGCCCACAACCCCACCGCCAGAGGTGCAGGGACGATCCTAAGAGAGATATGCGTGCCTAACTGGATTTGGGGGGGTGGGGGAGGGTAGGAGGAGATGGGAGAAAGAGAGAGAGAAAAGAGGAGGGGAGAAGAGGACATGGGAGAGCAGGAAGGTTGAGCCAGGGTAAGAGTAGAGGAGAGAAGGATGGGAGATACCATAAAAGAGGGAACCATTATAAGTTGGAGGAGAGATCTGGCACTAGTGAGATCTTCATAGATCTACAAGGATGACACCAACTGGCACTAAAGGCTACCTTAAATATCCTCCCATTATAATGAGAATGATGACTCCCTTATATACTATCCTAGAACTCTCATCCAGTGGCTGATGGAGGCAGAGGCAGACACCCACAGCTAGGATCCGAATTGAATTCCTAGAACCCAGTTGCAAAGAGGAATGATGACCAAAAGAATCAAGATAAGGGTGGCAAACCCACAGAGGCAGCTTACCTAAACAAGGGGGAACACATGGATCCCAGACTGATGACTGAGGGGCCAGCATGGGACCATGGGACTGATCCAGACATCCCTCCCACCAAACTTGGGTGACAGAGAGGATGTCTTGGCAATCTATGGGACCTTGGTGAGTATAGCAGTATTTATTCCTGGCATAAAGATGGATTCTGAGAACCCATTCCACGTGGAGGGATGCTCTCTCAGCTTGGACACACCGGGGAGGACCTAGGTCCTTCCCAGGACGATGTGACAGACTCTGCTCTGGGGAGCAGAGGGGGGATGGAGTGGGGGTGAGGGGCTGGGAGGTGTGTGGTGGGGGAGGAAGAAGGGAGAGGGAACTGAGAATGACATGTGTAAAAAGTTAAATAAAAAATATGAAAAAAAGACTCAGGAAATTCTAAAAGAAGGCTCATTAAAATTCAGGAAATAAACAACCCAGAAGCTTCAAACTCCCTCAAACTAAGGTATTGCAGAGTTCCACTCAAACAATTGAGGTTATTATTGCTCTTAGATGCCTACCTGAAGTTGACAGTAAGATCCTATTGCTGAAGATACTACCTTTAGTAGTCAAAGGACCTAAAGAAATCAAGTCACTATTGATTAGGAAGCCTCCTCCTTTCAAGCTAACTCTCATAGTCTGAAAATATGCTATGTAGACTGCTAGAGGAATTAAGACTTTAGGGTTGGAATTAAAGCCCATGCTATATGAGTAAACACATACCTTGTACTGCAAGTGTGGCCCCAAGGGTGAACCTACACTTTATTTGCTTAATGGACATAGTACCAAACTACTGTCTAAATCCATCTTTCTACCCATAGATTTGTGCAGTTCTCAGACCTCATTAGAAAAATTTCTTTGTGCAGTGGCTAGTGGCTAGCATAGAAACTCAGGAATGGTCAAAGTACAAAGAGTAAGTGACTTTGGGGATACTCAACCATAAATAGGACAGCTGTATCACAGCTCCATCCAGTACTATGGCAGAAGAGGTTGTAGAAAAACTGTAAGAGCCAGAGGTCAGAGAGGACTAGAACAAAATTATTGTTTTCTGGATATGACAGAACTTCTGTACTCAAAAACTCATAGCAGTTGTGGTTGACTGATTGTATAAGACCTGCATAAGATCAAGTCAGTCAAAATTCTAGATGGAGTAGGGGGTTCATGAGCTCCTGCCACCAAATGAGTTTCTATGGACAATTTATGGCTTCTGAAGAAGAGAGAGTCTGTTTTCTTTAGGGGTCTTACTCCTGATAGTTTGACTATGCTGTAATGATGGTCCATAGAAGCACATAGACACTACAAACTGAATTTAATAAAAGAAGATAAGTTGTGGGAGTCAGGGTGGTAGGGGTTGATCTTGATGGAGTTAATGAGAGGAGCTGGTATGAATATGACCAAAATACTTATTCCTGGCATACAAATAGAATCTGGGAGCCCATTCCACACAGAGGGATACTCTCTCAGCCTGGACACAAGGGCGAGATCCTAGGCCCTGCCTGGGATGATATGACAGACTCTGAAAATCCCTCATGGAAGCCCTTACCCTCCCTGGGGAGCAGAGGTGGGATGGAGTGGGGTGGAGGATTGGAAGGATTGGGGGGCAGGGTTAGAGGGGAGGGAGAGGGAACTGAGAGTAACGTGTGTAAAAAGTTAAATATATGTATATGTATATATATATCACCAACTCATAAAAAGAAATTCTCAAAGAATGATTAATATTTTAAAAAGAAGTCCCTGTAACTATCCAGATATACTGAACTACTCTATCCTCGAGCTTATACAAGCATGAGGGACTATTGAAAGGCACTCCCAGCTTTAAACAGGCAGATCACATGCTGCCTAGAAGAGGCCTCAACAAATCAAACTGTCTGGAAGAGGCGATGAGTGGTTGAGCCCCCTAAAAGAGACATTTTCCAACCTATCAAGTTGCTTGCAAGTTATGCAGTGAGATCCAGGTTACCAGCTTTTGTGAGTCATCACCCATGAGGGGTAACCTTTCCATCCAACAACCTTTGTGCCATTTATAGTCCTGTAAGTAGCCCCTCACTTATACTCCTTTAAGTAACCACAATGAACACATTAGTTTACCAAGCTGGGCTCTGGTGGCATCTTCTGCTGTGGATTCCCTATCTAGACACATTTCCTGAGGAAAAGTGTCACATGACAAGAGGATGATAATATTTGACTTTGGTAACCAAAACATAAGATAGTTTCAAGGTAATACTGTGATGATATAAGGGAAGGTTGTCGATTTACACATGGAAGATGAAGGGTATGAAACTGAGTGGGGCTTCTTGTACACCAGAAGCCCTTTTTTTAAAAAAAAAAACATCAAGGTAATAAACTTGACTCACAAACTTATAAAGAAAATCCACCTGCCTTCCAACTTCTAAGTACAGTGTTTGATAGAGATATAAAAATATGTGCATGTCACCAGACCTCAAAAGATCTAGTCAATGGAGGCAAGTATGGCTTGTCCTTATTTCCCTTATTGCTGTTATTAGGCTATATAACTAGATTCAGGATTGGCATGTGACAGCATGAGGTACTGCCACAGATAGGTGGGCCAACAGGAAGTCTACAGAGTCTACAAAGCAAATGGCACGAATGCTCCTGTACTGCTGATGTCAGAGTCTCTGCTAAGAAGTGCACCATATATGTATTCTGAACACAAAGTGAAGAGCAGCCAGTCCTTTGTGAAGTTCCTAATGACTGGATCAGAGTTTGAATCATTGTATTTCCAATGCTTCCATCCCTGAAGACAGACGGGATGAAGTGGGGGTCTACAGAGGAGGAAATGAAAACGAGTTGACCCCGGCCCAGCACATCACAGCAGTCCTTACATTCACTCTTTGGTGTAGTTCAGACTTTGTTTCCTCATCCTCCCACAGGTCTTCAGGAACAGAGTTGAAATCAGCCTGCCACTGAGCTACAAAGTCTTGCTTGTGATCTGGACGCCTTAGAAACTCCTGGAAACTTGTTCTGTAAGTAAGGAAAAGAATAAAATGGATCCTTGTCTTACCTAATCAAGACAAAATTCTGATCTTGGGGACTCTACTTACCTAGTCTCATATAAATAAGAAAGGATACTGTGTTGGTTTTCTCTAAGATATCGAAGTACTGTTTTGATATGGTTTATGTAGGATTTCTCTATCAGTTCCCAATAAGGTACTAAAAATGAAGGTAGTTCCTGTGAAACAGCAGAGCATAGAAATCAGTATTTGAAAATGAAAATTCTTATGACTAGCTGGGTCAAAAGAACACTAGTAATCAAGATCAAGTCCCAACTACAACTACATAACCACACCTTCTACAATGTCTTAGTCCTCATCTGTCTCCAGAAGATACTTTCCTGTTCCAAAGAATCTGCATGTCTCAGCACAGACATTATTTCTTCTAGAAATCCTTCTCTGGCCCAACCAGTTTGCAAGGTTATCCTCAGATCTTCTGCGGCTCTGCATTAGCATCCTGTGCTCCAGTTGTTCTAATACTGGCAACATTAGTTCTGTCTGTGCTTTTTATCTAAAACATTAGACCGGTTCAGTTGTCTATAGTTTAGTTGTCTTGATCAGCACTCTACAGTCTTTCCCTGTAATCACATGGCATCTGGGACCTGGAAAGTTCTCAAAGACTGCTTATTGAACGAATGAATTGAGCTATTACGTTTTGCCTCATCTTTGTACATTTCCTGATGTGCTGATGACATACTTGTAAACACTGTTCCATTTTCTTTCCTTGAGATTCATCTGCTTCCTACAAGAGTCCATCCCAAGATTTATATATGTGAGTTTGTGTCCTATCCCAATATTAATGGCTTTTATTTTAATTTTGGTCCTCTACAGTGTTATTTCTTTTGACCGATCCCAAGGTAATAAGATTTAGGTATTTTTGTTCATCACTCCCCACCAAATACTCAAAAATGATTATATTTTGCTCCTTCAGACACCTGCTATTCTGTTTCTTTCACAAACTCAGAGCATTTTGAAAATGGATGTGGGTATTTCTCTCTGTAGATACATTTAAAATAGCTTCTTCTTGGTTGAATGATATCCATGATATATGAGCATACATATGTACATACATACATACATTCATGCATGCATACATTATTGTACCATTTAAATGTTTCATATTTAAATATTTTCCATTTTTATCCATGATACTAGTTAATTCATTCATTAAAAACTTATCCAGTATCTGTCATATACTATTGGCTAGATCTGATTCCCTGGATGCAGTGAGCTATTCTGGGTACTCACTCCACCTTCCAGAGAACTTACAGCCGGATGTACATGATTAAATGTCCCTAGATGATTTTAATAACAGATACAACACCACTCTTGCAGTGAACATGTGGCTCTCAAATGCCTGGTAGAGATGGACTTTGCTGAGTTTGTCAGTGTTGAGAGACCACTGTGGACTGCAATAAAAAGTTAGAACTGATTCTTGTAAGCATCTTCCTGTCCTTCATTAGAAAAAGTGTTTGATTCTCCAAGTTGATTATTTATCTTTTGAAACTTTAGGCCCAGGAAACAACTGCTTTACCTCTGTCACAGGAAAATGGCTCCATGTGTACCTTCCTTTCTAACATACTTAATATGAGCTCTAGGGACCAGGTAGTTGTTTTATAATTTAGTTAACTTCTTCCAGTTCTAAAAAGCTGGAGATTAAACTTCATCTGGAAGTATTATGATAAGTACTCATACACGGATGGGGGACTGTAAATTCGCTGGGTATGTGTGTGGCAAAAATTGTTCTTCTAGGAAACTGCATCTCTGCTTGTCCTTGGGGAGAAAATTGCTACTCACAGAAGCTATTTGTCCTCCTGATTTCAATACTCAAGAGCAATTTCAAAGTGTGACCCAGAAACTCAAATCCATGGGAGAAATTGAAATGCAGTTCACTGAGAAGCCTCTAGAAAATTTATCACTGTTTCCCCACCTCAATATTGTGGATGGAATCCAGGGTCTTCTGCATTCTACCAATGAGCTGCAACTCCAGGCTTATCTCAGTTTTTTTTGATAAATATAGACACAATCCTGACGCCAGAAGGATTGTTAGATGTTGCAAATGTGGCAAAACTTGCTATAAACTATTCTGTTATTTTGATTAGAAGGTGGATACCTCAGGTATAGGCTCAGTCACATAGACCCATTCTTCTGATCCTGGCTTAGGTGGTGGTGGTGCTGTTGGTGTGGATGAAGTGTCTGCAGACCCAACAGGTGACTTCTTTGCCGGTGATTTTCCTGCTGGTGTTTTCCCTTTAGGAGAAACTTAAACATGCATATTAAATCATTGCAGTACAAGTTGGGGATCAGGACAGTTTTCTGAGTATGACAAAGTCTACCATTGTTATGGGACTCAGGTTACTCATTGATTACTCTTTTAGCTTCTCCAGCAGTTTTAACAACTCAAAGATGTAGAAGAACAATTGCCTCGTTTGCCATGGCCCCTGAGTTAATGGATACACTCCCACTAATGAGTTCTTTTCTTATTTCAAGGAATCCAATAACTGGAATCTGCTTGGCTATTGTAACCTTCTGTGTTTTACTTTCACTCATGTCTTGCCTCCTTAATTCATCTGTAGCTCTTATAAAATTTAGGCTTTATCACCAAGTGTGTTTAATTTCCTATTGTAAAAACTGGCCATTAAATTCTTCATGCCAAATGAGAAATGGTGCCTGGGACATAAATGGGGCTCGTTTGTGTTCTTTGGGACCCAGAGCAGAAGTTAGAGAAGGATTATAAGTAAGAGCTATCCAGAGAAGGTAAGGCTACAGATTAGAGAATAAGCCATGGAAGCTCCCAAACCTTCTCAGATGCCCTGCAGATTGAAAGGATGTCTAAAAAATTGCATTTCTTGCTATGGTCAGGCTTTAAATTTAAATCTAGAAAATCAAGAAGGGAGGGAAGGAGTCACCAAGGGAGGCAGAAGTGGAAGAACAACTGTGAGAGTAAGGGGATGGAGGAGGTAAGTGGAGATGAGGGGGAGAGGGAGGAGTGGAGGGAGGAGGAGGAAGGGGAGAAGGAGGAGAAGCAAAAAGTAGCCTCGTTCAAATTTAGGATCTGAAGTGGAAATCTACTTTTCTTTCTTTGATGAAGAGTGCAGCCAAGGCAAGTTACAATGCTTCCTTATATTGTGAGCATATTCACACCATGAAAGCATAATATTTATTTTTTTCCTCAGAAGGTCATCCAAGCTAGATTCCCCCCACCTTTGGATTAATTGTTGAAAATTGAATATGCAGGTGAAAGATGACTAAAACATGGGATTGTTTTATTTCTCCTAAATACATTATCTTAATGAGTATAATTTACTGATGCTCTTTAGATTATTTTAGTTTTACACTATTTAAAAGAGATGGTTTATAGTAGAGAAGGCATTACAAATTATGACTTTTGGGTAGTTCAGGTGATGTCTCCATATATAATTAAATCAGTATCTGTTAGCCATTCATAGTCTTACAGACTAGCTAAATTTAATGAATTTTCTGTATGGTTCTTTACCATTCAATCTGAACATAACCATTTTAAGATAGAGTTCCCTAAGCAGAATTTCCTAAAGGAAAAAGAGTGTAATCATAAATTGAGGAATAGAATAAGCTTTTCTCTCTTATTTTAAAGATATTTTTATCACTTAGTGAAAATTAAGAGAGATAGAATCATTTTTGGGTAACTATGCTTTGAGACCATATTAAATGTATCTAACATTTGGCAATGAGAATGCTGAGAGGAGGATTTTAAATAGGAAACAAGTGTGTTTATATTCAAATGAGTGAAATAAGTTACTTTGAAACAAAATCGTTATTAACTATTTAAATCTAAAGATGAACATAATTTGATATCTTCAGGTTCTATAGGGAAGCCATTGAATCCTTGCTATAGCCATTTCTATAGGTCTGGGGTTGTAGAAACACTCCTGTTTAGTATATCATACATATCAATTTTAGGACATTTTTGTTCATTAATGGTAACTTGATAGGGTCAGGCAGATATCCACTGAGCCAAGATAATTATACATTAAAATAAGTCATAGCCGGGCGTAGGTGGTGCATGCCTTTAATCCCAGCACTCCGGAGACAGAGGCAGGCGGATCTCTGTGAGTTCAAGGCCAGCCTGGTCTATAGAGAGAGTTCCGGCACAGCCTCCAAAACAATACAGAGAAACCCTGTCTCAAAAAACCAAAAAAAAAAAATCATAGAGAAAATTTCAATTTTCAGGCAGGGTAGTAGATCATTGTTAAAAATAAAGATATATTTAGGTAAAGATGAAATGACAGCGGAACATGTAAATTACAAAAATATAAATAGTGATTTAGTAAAGGGCTGAGCAATTAAAATTCAGAAGTTTAAAGCAAAATGTAAAATAAAAAATACAAGTAGGTAATTGTAGGGTATAAGTAAACTGCATTTATGGATGAGAAGAGGACATTAAAACGATCTGAACATTTTCTAATAAATTAAGTATTTCTCAGAAAGAGAGTTGGGAGGGGCTTTTGTTGGGAGGAAACAAACATAGAAAGTCTGTTATACATATTTTTAATGAAGATATTATTATTATCATTATCATCAGCATAATTTGCCACTTTTCCATTCTAAAATATACCCTGTGGGAAACTGATTTAATTAGTATCTTCACAAGTCAAAGCCAACATATTGGTTAACAGTGATTACGTTCATATTTCTTAAGTTTAGTCATGTTTAGCTAACAGATACATAGTGTTTATTGTTGACTGAGCTGCTAAGAACACCTGGCAAGGTTGAGATGTAGGCCGGCTCAGATGAGGTGACCATTTTTAGCATAGACCAGACTGGAGTAATACAACCAGGGAGAGAAGGTCCCAGTGTAAGGTGAAGAGTCAGAGACTGTGCACACACCAGCACTGGGCTGAGAAGGAACTTTGGCAAAGATCATAAAGGAATGTGTTCTCTGTTCAAAGTCCTAGGATTTGTATTGTTCCTCATCATGGAGTCAGATATGTGTAGCTGTAAAGTATTAAGACTCATCATCTGAGATCATTTTTGAAACTCACCTCTAGTATAATTGTGCCTAGAATCTGGTAAGTGATTTTTCTTGTACATCTATAGCAAATTCCTGACACCCCCGGTTCAGGAGGCATCACAGAAGAGGGGGCTGAAAGACTGTAAGACAAGACCTGGAAGACTGGGCATCTGCTGTGAGATAGTGTCTTACATATAGTACTGGGAAGCTGCACCCATGAAATCTCAGCAATATGAAAGCCTAACTAGACCTGACAATGACAACACCAATTTACGTGCCTATGTGAATGGGGAAATCTCACAAGGCTCCACACCTAGATGAAGATACAAGTAGTGAGGAAAAATCACTCTTCCCAAGGGATGAGTCTCCTAACTGGTTATCCAGTCCCAAGTGGTCAGCATGAAAACATACACACAAGGGAAACATGCAATGGACTTAGGAGGTTTTATTTACATGTATATAAATATATACATGTAAAATTAATAATTAAAGAAAAAGCAAAAATATATCAGAGGTGAGAATATATATTTAACAATAATACTTAAAGGAGAGAAAGTAATGGTTTGAGATGAAATAGAAGGGTAAACAGGAAGAGTCTGAGTGAGGACAGAAAGAAGGGTGGAAATAATGTTAATATAGCAATTATACATGGATTATGGAAAACTAAGAATTTAAATTAAAGGTATATAAAAGTATTATGCCACTTATATTTTTATGTTTTAAAAAAAGAAAATGAGAGGACATGAAGTTGAGAGATTAAGAAATAGTGATGGACATAAGAGGAGGTAAGGGTAAATATGAGGAAAATGTATTGTATGAAGTTCTCAAGGAATTAGTAAAATATTTATTTAAATAATTTTAAAGGACATAAAGTTGGGAAGGAATGTTCTTGGGCCGGGAGAGTTGGCAGAAGGGAATAGAAATAATTATGATTATGACTAAATGTCATGCACATGTGTGAAAATTTAAGATAATATACAAAAATATTGTTTAAAAATATTTTAAGATCACTATAAGACTGAACATTTAAGATTTCAAAAGAAATAAAAGAGTAAAGATTGATACAATATGCAGAGAATAAGAATGAGTCAATGATGTTACCAGTAAGAAATAATAGTTTGAAGAAAGAAGAAATGGTACCATGACTTGTAAGTGGGGCATTAAATATAACTGTGATACAATGACTGTGAGATTAAAAAGCATTTGTCCAGTGTCAATGGCATTAATTTCAAATACCTAGAAGCAAAATACAATAAATTCCTATATTAGTTAAATTGTTTTGATTTTCAAGACAGGGTTTTTCTGTGTAATAGCTCTGACTGTCCTATGAAGTAAATATTGTTATAAACGCCAAAACAATAGCATTTCTACACTGTTGTAAGAGAACTTCTAAATCTGATTTAAAGTTCACCTCTAAAAATTCCATCTATCTATCTATCTATCTATCTATCTATCTATCTATCTATCTATCTCTATCTATCCATCCATTTACTGCTTGAGTATTTTGTTTGTGTCTGTGTAAGCATGCTACATTTCCATGGAAGTCAGAAAAGGACTTCTGAACCCTGAAACTAGAGTTACATATGTTTGTGAGCCTCCATGAGTATGCTGGGAATGGAACCTGGGTTCTCTGTAAGAGGAAAAATATCACTAGCCACTAAAATTCACCTTTTAAGATATCATTTAATCTCATAAACTAGAAAACTAAAAACTAAAAATAAAATAATAAAATCAGAAATCCTTAAGTTAAACTGAGCTAGTGAGTGCATGTATTTTCCTGTTGAACTTGCATAGTTGCTTATGGCTTGTTGAGTGTCTCTATACTTAGAGTTTACATACTATTATGTTTAACTTAGGATTTGGTGTCAAATATATCTATGTACTTAATCTCTCTTTCTCGTGGGCTTATAATAATACTTCATTTGAGTTTAGTTTGGTAACAATTAAGGAGCAAGAGATAAGTAATATAAAATGGGAAATTGCTTTGTTGGTAAACAATCAAGAGCTGAGTATATATTTCAGCAATTAGAATTTCAATTAAAAATGTATCTCAGGGATAAACACTGATCTACTGCCCAGGGCCCCATAGGCCTCACTGACTCTCACACTCGTGTGTCCATAACACAAAGAGGGATGCTCTCTCAGCCTGGACTCTGAGGGGAGTGCCTGGACCCTGCCCTGAGTGAAATGACAGATTCTAGATATCCCCTATGTGGAAGGAATTGACAATAGGGTGTGAGGCTGGGGGAGATGGTGGGGGGTGCAGGAGGAGGGGAGGGATAGGGAACTGGGATTGACATGTGAAGCAAGCTATTTAAAATTAAAATAATAAAATAAAAAATGTATCTCAGGGTTAATTCAGTACCTCTAGTTAAATAAGTCTACAATGAGGCATTATCATGATGAGATTGTCTTTGACTATAGTGTTATAAAGGGATGTTCACTTCAGCATAACTATCCATACATATAGCTCATAAATACGCGTGTGTATGTGTATGTGTGTGTGCGTGCATCACACTTTAGATGATTTAAAAATAATTGTGATACAATGGCCTGTGAGATAAATAATTGTGTCAGTATCAATGGTATTAATTTCACGTATTAAGAATTACACACATATATATATATTCATGGCTGTTAAAGAATGCATTTATATATGTAGTATTGAGATGTGTATTATGATGAGCATAACATTTACAATATTTTGTGACTATCAACCACTTTTAGATTAAAATACATTGGCAATTATATTGGATAGTAAAAGTACACATCCCATGACAATAATAATTGGGAGTATACCCTGAAACCAACAAACTGTTATATAAGCACTCACTCAGTAGAAGGCAACTTTCCATGCCCCTGGATTTCAATTTGAAGTCACTTAGTATCTCACATATGAGTTCTTGGGTGAGAAAATGACATACTTGCATTTCGGAAAATGTGATATCTGGCTGTTATTGATGCAATGTAAAGTTTTAGCTTTACTTCTATTCTGTTGTGTTATAAAGAAAGACAGTGACTTTGTGCCAAAGTGCTTGCTGGTGATTACAGTTTAGTTAGTTAGAGGCCAAAGAAGGTGCAGCAGTGCCTTTCTGGGAGCAAAGCTCAGTTCATGAATAGCACCTGTGATATCTATGAGACACGGATGTCTGTTAGGCAGAACACTTCGTTATCTCTTGATAGTATCACTTTTCTCAGCATGGCCTAGGGTGAGCAGCAGGCTGCACATGGTCTGTGGCTGGTTTCTTTGAATGAGCTAATGATTGGAGAGTGCCCCAAAGATGTAGTCTCAGTGTGTGCTTCTATTCTTTGTGACTTCTCACGGGGGCACTTAGAAAATGCCGGAGCACATTTAACAACAGCTAACTTTATTCATTGTACCTTTCCCTTGAATGCAGTCTCACCTTTCTTTCCTTTCATTTCATGCTGAGATTCTTGCTTACCATGCTGGATTTCTAAACAAAATTCAACACAAAAATATCATTGGTGACTTACTTCAACAGCCCAGGCTGTACAATTTCTACATAATCAACTATATTTGTGAACTGCATTAAATGGATCATTTTTTTCCCCTGTGAGTTGAAATCAATCTGAAGACGGAACCTACATTTAGTTTTATTGAATGATAGTTGTTCACAATTATATTCTATATTACCATGCTAAGAAGCTTAATCTTAGCTTTAATATTGATATTTTGTGATGGGCTTGTTCATAATCTGTAATGAGGTTGTGGCGTTTTTAAGGTAAATCACAAGTCCATTTGAAGCACACAATTTATTTTAATTTAGTGTAATAAAACGACCTTCATTCAGTAATACTAGGTTCCCCCAAAGCATGGGTAAGTAAAGGTGCATGCTACCTGGTAATACAAGCTTGATAATCTGAATTCAACACTGAGAATCCACAGAAAGGTGGAGAGAGAACTGACATACAGATGCAACACACATGAAGTAATAATAATAATAATAAATTAAAATATGAAAACCAGATCACTAACAAAAATGAAAACACTTGAGGCAGATTTCAATAACAACATTGTTCTGATACGACATATCCTTAATCTCCTTTTGGCCATATACTGTATTGCCTAGTTAATTATTCACTTACAATCTCACTGGCTAAATTACAATGTAAAAGGATAATTTTGCCATATTTATCTTGCATTCCCTAGAACCTAGTTAAAAGTAAATTGCAGAAAGAGGGAGACTTGGAAATGAACAATCTGAAGGTCAACACCATGTCTCCCAAATAGAAAATAAGAATTCAGTACTTTTAAAAAGTCACTACTACACACTGCATTAATTACCAAAATGCTCAATCATTCCCTTCTCTTGACCTTGGGATACATATTTCTTCAATGAGCAAGTGTGACAGTTTAGATTATTATGATGTAGAGAGCTCATCTTGCCCGTTTTGTATGTGCTTAGAAGTATGTGATGGTTAAAATGTTTATAAATGCATGTTACTTTCATTTGAATATTTCCTCTCTGACAGCCAAGATTCCACAGAAATAAACAATTAAATGCATAGAGGATTACCCTTTAAATGTAAAAGGACCTTTAAACAGGCACACACCCTACAACACATCTCATAGACACCTACATGCTTGAATCAGCTAATCGTTTCAAAGAAATAATTTTAATAATTAGAAAAATTTATTATAAAAATATTCTGGGTAACCAAGTATGTAATTAATTCTGTCCACTAGTACAAGACGACAAAGACCAACAAAATAAGATAGTGACCTTACAAGTTTTATGGAAAATTATTTATGTTAGAAGTAATGTACTGTTTTCCATTTTAAAGATTAGTTCCAAAATGTGTTCTGAAATCTCATTGTATGTGAATGAGTACATATGTATGTGTGTTTGTGTGTGCGTGTCATGTAACCCGGTTGGCCTTAGGCTCACTATATAGCCAAGGCTAGCCTTAAACACCTTATTTTTCTTGTATCTCTAGCAAAACCTGGGGCTATAAGTTTGCATTACCATGCTCATATTAAAAATAAATAAACAAATTAATTAATTAATAGTTTAAAATACTGTTAAATAGTAACATGGATATTATTATTTTATATTTAGAACTTTAGTTCTAATTAAATACTAACATTTTATGATAGATTTCATCTTAGACCTTTCAATGGAGGGTAAACATGAAGGTGTTTTAGTTGAATCCTAAGGACAGTTGTAGCAAATACAAAATGGAGATCTGTATTCTAGAATTGTACTTGGACCAAATCAATTACAAGTGTACTGTACCTTCTCTACATGATTTTTATGCTTGTGTTTTGGGTATTGTTTAAAAAGTAATTATTTTCTTTTCATGCTTTCTCCTTGAAAAAGTAAAGAAAAAAACCCTAATTTTCTTGGCCAACCTTTTTTTTTCTCTCTCTCTCTCTGAGCTCCTGGGAAACTCTCTTCACTCTCCTACCCTGCCTCTGAGCATTAAGGTATCATGTGCTTGAATGAAATTAGGCAAGTGGAAATGACCATTTTATATATTTTTAAGATCAGGGACTAGCCTTGCCCTTGCTGGAAAGAAAAAGAGACAGGTACAATTACTCCGTGAAGCCAAAACAGATTTATTATTGCACCAGTTTACACTATTCAAGGTTACAGCTTTAAAATAGGAAATAAACCCTCCAGGAAGTTAATATTAAACTTAAATATTAAGCTGTGTCAGAATCAGAAAGGTTAGAGATTGGTTTCAGGAAAGGCACTGTTTTACACCAATATTCTGATTATGAGAAAGCTCAAAAGACCATGGTGGACAATTCTCCAATATGTGAATAAAAGCCTTCTGAGTCTAAATCACATTTTAAGGATTTGAAGTTTTCTTTTAGTCCTTTAAGTTATATTTTCTATTCCTAATGAGTTGTATATATCTGTCTAGATACATATCTATACATATATATGTATATATATATTCATCATTTAATATTTCACTGTCTTATGCTAAAATCATTTCTAATATTTACATATCTTGCATTTAATTAATTCCAGATTTGTTGAAGCAAAATGGTGTTTAATACATCATCATCTGTGTCACTTAAAATGACTCCAATCATATGAAACAAAGTTCATTACTTCGTCCAACAATTTTTGCTTACTATGATTAAATTTAATTTTGTAAATAACAATGGATTTATGTCAAATATCTATACAGTAAAATATTGTTGTTAGAGACAGCTACGACACACCAGCTAGATGACACACACATCTAACCACTGTGAAGCCATGTCACATGCCACATTGATATTGGTGCCACAAACATTACTAGGACAATTTTGAACATGTAAATTTTGTCATGTTCATTTTCTATCATTTATTGTTAAACTTACCGTCCCAATGGCTAAGGATCTGGAACAAATTTAATCTAAAATGTATTTTCTACAAGGCTGTTTTTCTATGAACATTTACGTTTACTGAGGTGTCAGATGTGCGTACGTGCGTGTGTGCGTGTATGCCTGTGTGTGTGTGTGTGCCTGTGTGTATGTGCCTCTGTGTGTGTGTGTGTGTGTGTGTTTGTACTTGCCTGCATGTGTGCCATGGTAAGCATGTGGAGGTTAGAGAATAACTTTTGAGATCTGGTTCTTTATTTCTACTACACGAGTCTTGGGAAGCAACTTAGGTGCCTTTACAAACTGAGCTACCACATTGGTCCCTTCTGCATCCTTTCTATAATCACCTAACTGAATATTTCTGGCTATACACAAATTCAAGTGTCTAATTAAAAATGTTTGTAGGGATGGAAGAATATCCTGTCTGCACTGATCCTCATTTCATTAGAATGTTCTCACTTTTTACAAAAATACATTTCTGTTGCTTAGCAGACAGCTGTTTCCTCCATCTGACTAAAGATCTTGTCCCTCTACAACCTTTCTCTTCTGACCCCAGCTCACCCACTGAGCAGCTAGTTTGAGTGGGGACTCCATATGCCCTGTGGAGCAAGTAAGACACTGAGCTTTTTAAACAAATGGTTTTGCTCAGTAGGAGGGCTTTTCCTCAGTGAGGACATAGATCAATGGTAGAGCATATGCTCTGCCTGTGAGAGACCTCGCCACTATTTCCAACACCACAAATATTAAAATTAAAAAAGAGCATTTCTATTTCTGGACATGGATATTTGTTTCACATGATTGAAGTTGCCAAATCTAGTTCATCATTGTTTTCTATGTGAAATTAAGAAACTGACAAACAAGGTTATAAATCCGTTTGTCAGTCACCTGATTGGGTCTTTCCTTTCCCATGAGAAACTTTTGATGCCTCACGATGAAGATGAATCTCCTTCTCTTTTTCTGCTTCAGAAGGAAGTGGGGGCGTGGTAGTAGTAGCCTCAGCCTGGGAAGCTGCTGCCTTTTTCTCAGCTTCTCTTTCTTCTAATTTCTTTTCAACTTCAGAAGAATGATTAAAATAAAAGAACCTGTGTTAGGGATTCCAGGTAGTTACTCTTTCATTTGAACTAATACATATAAAATTATTATGAAATTATAATTAGTAAAATTACTACTGCATATTATATTTGCTGTAAAATTACAGAAAATATACTTGTTATACCTAACATTCATTCATATTTTGGGATCTTTATTCTTTCACCTCAGAGTTATGACTATGGTGAGGGTTTTGGGATGAGAGGGATAGAGTGTGTGGAGTGGGCAAGTGTGTCTGTGTTCAGAAAGTGAGAAAAAGCTGGCATCAAATGTAAAAAAAAATACAAGAATGGAAAAATAAAGGGTTTTAATTAAGTGATGGAGAAGAACAGCAAAGTAAGAAGTACATAGGAAGAGACAGGTCATGAAAGGCCATGAATGCCTGCTATCTCAGTTCTCAGGAGGCTCACAGAAAGCCTCACAGCCAGGAGCATCACAGAAAGCTGGAGGCCGGTTGAGCATACACAGTGAGTTCCACATCATCTTGGGGTCTCAAGAAATGGAAATAAAAAACCCAAACAAATCAGTAAAAGGTTAAAGCAATGTGATATAAGACATGGGAGTTTGGATACAAATGGGATAGTCCCTGGTGTGTCTAGCACACTCACTCCAGTGGATGATCACACACCTGAGAATATACAGACAGCACTAACTGGATTCATTGAGTTAAAAAATAATGATGACAAAAACTTGGGTGGGTATCTGAATGGGAGGTAGATCTGTGAGAGGATGGAGAAGTAGATGAGTATTATCAAAATAAAATGTACATTATTCTCAATGACTTAGTATGTATGCACATATATATATATATATATATATAATTACCTTTGATCTTTTTATTTACTATTTCAGTAGCAAAAATTTCTTTTACTTTCTGGCATAAACGGTTTTCATCTATTTCAGCATTTATTTTAGTCAAAATATTTTGTGGCTCTGTAAACCACTCTTCCAGCAAGGGCCAGTTGTCCAAGAAGCCAACAATTCTGCAAAATAAGAATATTATATGAATATGTGATACCAATTTAAATGTTTGAGTAAAGACATTTAGCATGTTTTACTTGACAATTCATAATGAAGAGGTAGACTGGTAATGGAATTCAATCCCCAAAAGCAATTCAATGAAATATATAGATGATGGAGGAACTTAAAGAACTTGTCCGATGGCATCAAGGGATAATTTTTATGAGTTTAGAATTATGAGTGAAAAGGATTTGAAAATACTATCTGTTCTGAAAGTATCTTATGTAAGTCCAGATCTCTGTATAAAACCCAAGACAATATCCTGCTCACTAATGCTAGAGGCAGTCGAAGGACTCTTCAAATGGTACCATAGCCCCCACCCTCAGGCCATAGAATTTTTTTTTCTTGGACACACAAACTGAAAAGATCTTTGTAGGAAGAAAAGTGCAGACTAATTTATTTTACTAAAAAGTTTCTTTTTTTCCTTTTTTTGTCTTTCTAGGGCATAGACAGCTTTATGTACCTCAAATTACACTTCCTGTCTCACTTCTTATTTTTAGATCTCCCAGGCTTTCATAAAATTGCCTAATTTTGGCTGCATTTTCCTTTTCAAAGGAAAATTACATGCCATTCAAAGAATGCCATATAGCTTCATTTTAGTATAAGAGAAGGGCTACTACAAACTTTTCCAGTCCAATTCACAACTCTTTGAAATTCTGTACTCTTCATTGATATTTTCTAAGAGTTTGCTGAATCCCATGTAGTTAACTTGTAAGTATTTCCTGGTTGGCTTCTTTCCCCAAACTGCAACAACTGTGGTTCCAAATACAAAAGCTTCCATATAAATATTTCATTCAATGCAAAAATCCTATTTTGTTTTACCTTAAAAGACTCAAAGGTAGGGAACATATCTTTTTTTGTAGATCTTATTATTCCAAAGTCACCACTTGTCAGCCTCTTTGAAGGGAAAGGTATAGAAAGGGCACAAAGTTTAAAACTGACCTATGGTGTATCTGGTGTCTTAAGTTCTTGTCCCCATCATTATCTTGGCTTATAGTAGCTTCATGATGATCAACATTTTCATGAGGAATTTCATGTGAGAGTTCCTTGGCTATGGTACAAAATTACTTAATTAGACAATCAACAAATCCAATGAAAACACTACTTACTGTCAAAACACCCTTTTGCAAGATTCCAGGTAGATTATGGACATAGTTTAATATAATGTTACTTTTGTGTGCTTTTATTTTGTTTTACATAGAATATATTTTGCTCATGCATATGTGGCCAATACTAATTGTATTTATGGTTATTAAAATGAAAGAAGGGAACAAAAAGTTGAGAAAGAAATGTGTTTGGGGGAAACCTGGGGGAAAGTTGGGTGGCAAGAATGTTCGGTAGATACAATCATATTTTGCTGCAGATATGTTTGATATTCTCAAAGAATAAAAATTTTAAAGTATATAAATGAATATATTAATTATAGAAGAGCAAGTCATGAATTTAAAAGGCAAAGAGAAGGACACAGGAGATGGATGTGCATAAGTAGGCATTGAAATGATGGGAATACAGTGTACTAATGTGCTTAAATTCTCAAATAAATTTTAAAAACAAAATTGACTTAACAAGTGTGAAGAGAAACCCAGACAACCACAAGAATTTGTGGTGGTTTTAGAGTAAGAATTTATACTTTCTCTTGTAAATCTGTGAAAAATGTGGTGAAGCAGACTGAAGAGAAGCTGGGTTTTCAAAGTGGAACATCTCAGGATAGAGTGTTGGTGAGAAATTCTAATGCCTGAAGTTAGGCTCAGGATGTAGGGAGGGAAGACAGGAAAAGGTTCTTTTAACTAAGAGCTTCAAGTGAGGGGGTAGAGAGCACTTATTGCTCCTGTAAACAATCTGGTAGCTCCTGTAAACAAACATGAGGTACCCACATGGTAGCTCTCAATGGCTCATAGTTCCATTTCCAGAGGACCCAATGCTTTATTCTGATCTCTGTGAACATTTGCGCATATATGATGTACATAAACTCACAAACTCATGCCTGTGCATGAACTCACACACACACACGCACGCACGCACGCACACACGCACGCACGCATGCGCGTGCATATGCACACACACAAAATAATAAATAAAAAACGAGCCAAAATTTCCAAAGAAAAAAAGACAAGTGATGCCATATTCATTCTTGGTTGAAGTTTGGCCACCAAGATGACACTGTATTCTGATTCCAGAATCAAACCACTAAGAATTAGCAACATTCCTTCCTGTCTCATGACTGTCTGTGTTGCACTGTCTTGCCCATCTTAGTTGTCACTGCTAAGTTTCAGTGTGAACAATTCATGATTTTTTCTCTCTTTATTTCATTATAAAATAGTCTGGCTTCCTAGAGCCAGTGGAACATTTTCCCAGTTGCTATCAGACCATGTGCCTGATAGCTCATATAATTTGTCCCAGGACTGACTGGGTTTTCTTTTTAGGATAGACTATGCAACAGCCTAGAAAACCCTTTATTTCATAAACCTCTCTCTCTCTCTCTAAAAAAATTTGATTTAACAATATGAAAAGATAAAGATGACAAAGGATGGATTGTCATGGATAAAAAACTTGGAGAGAGAAAATCTGCACTTTGGAGTAAAAATTAGAGTAAAATAAGGTGGCCATAAAGTTGAATATACAAAAAAACTATTTACTAATGCATACTATAAAACTGTGAAGTATTTTATGCCTCATTCTAGAATTATGAACTCCGTTTAGAACAAATATATACAAATTGACCATAATAAACCACAAATAATTAAAACAAGTTCAATGACTCTCATTGAGTTTCATTAAAAGTATACCATATGCATACACTGGGAATAAACAGAAAAATATCAGAGAAGAAAGCAAGCCCTGAGCTAGACCAAAGGGAATTAGATTTAAAGAGAAGGAGCATTAGATTGTGATTTCAAAGCATTCAAGATAATGAAGTACCCCATAAATACAGCAATCAATTTCTTCCCAACTACATTAGTGAAAAAACAAGACAAGATGAAATGAATTTGCAATACAAAATCATGGTGGGTTTTTGCTGTTGTTATAAAACTTACTATATCCAAAGCCAAGAAGCAGATTAAAAGGGATGAGAATTGCTTAGAGCAAAAGAGCACGGAAGAGGATATTAACAGCATTCAAGGCAAGTAAGTCCCTTTGCAGGGTGCAGCAATCAGCTGCTTCCCATCTTACAGAACAGGTGACTGAAAGAAAGATGTTGGTGCTTTCTCAAGAGATGCTCTCATCAATGTCTTATGGTAAATGCCTCACATGTGCTGAGGATTTCAGCACACCAGCTAGATCTCTCTTTCTTCCTCCCTCCTTCCTCTCTGTCTCCTCCCTTCCCTCCCTCCCACTTCTTCTGCCTCATATTCAGACACTGCCCACTTTCCTTCTATTTCCAGCACTCACAGCTCCAGTATTTTTAGTGGCCCTGGATGATCCATCTTTGTGATCTTAAATACTAACACTCCCAGTGTATAAACTCTGATACTCCCAGGACTCTTATGTAGTTCATAGATCTCTTCAACAGTGTCTAGTTACAGAATCCTTACAACTGCACTCCAGACCGGCCACCATTGCCTTGACTTTATTTCTAGCATGGCTGAAACTTCAGTTTTTTTCTGTCTAATAGTCCTTTGATCACTTCCATTGTTTTTATAAAGTACTCTGGTGAAAAGCAACTCAGGAGGGAAGGATCTTATTTCACAATTCCAGGTTGTAGCCCATTACTGTGGGGGAAGTCAAGACCCTCATGGTGCCTCTCTTTCCAGGTGAGTCTACACTGTGGCAAGTTGAGAATTGAAATTAACATCTTCCCATTTCTCTTCTATAGTAGGTATCTTTTTTGTTGTTGTTTTTGAGACAGGGTTTTCTGTATTGTTTTGGAGACTGTCCTGGAACTCTCTCTGTAGACCAGGCTGGCCTCGAACTCACAGAAATCCGCCTGCCTCTGCCTCCCGAGTGCTGGGATTAAAGGCGTGTGCCACCAACTCCTGGCAGTAGGTATCTTTAAATAAACTATAGTAGGTATCTTTAAATTAAAATAACAACAAGAAAACTCTGTACCCTTCCCTCTAAGAGAGAAGGAGAAAGGGAGGGAAGAAGAAAACAGATCCTAAGAGGAAATCTAAAGTGTTCTGACTCTATGCTCTGTACCCTTCAGAGAAGTGATTCTAACAAGTTATCTTCACTCACCCTCTCTACCCTGTTGCCTCTATTTCTGGCTTCAGCCCTCTGAAACCCATCTTTTCTGTCCCCACCACTAATGAAACAGCTTTCATTGCAGTCACCAAAAATGTCAAAGCCAATGGATATGTTTCCATCCTTATGTCACTTTATTTTTTCTGTACCATGTACAGGGTGAATTCAGCTTACAGAACTTCCATTTTATAATCATTAGGCTATTTTTATATTCACAACATACCATGTGAAGTAGGATTGAAATCCTATTATTTGCTCCAGATTACACAGTGCATTAATTACTGAGAATGGGTTCAATTTAACCAATGTTACTCTACACTTTGAACTCCTTTTTAATTGTATACTCTTCATTTTTATTAGTGGGAAATGATACCAAAATATATAGTTTAATGAAGTCATACACTGAAGATATGCAGGATCTAGATCAACAACAATTATCAGTTTTGGAATTCTCCAGTATACCTTTGCAATTACTATTAGCCTCAAAGGATTACTATCCACAGCCTGAGCTAGAAACTTTTCAGCATTTCTTCCTACCTTATGCAAGCCACTACTCTCACACAAGCCAAGTCATGCCTTTATTGATAAGCTAAGACTGGTACCTACTCTTCCACTCTGATACCAGTCCCCTGCAATATTTACTCCTTCTCCCTGTGTCTCCCTGATTTACTATCTATTATATTTAATCCCTGGCTGGACTGATGTTCAACATTTGCTGCTTATCTGCCTTTGGATGTAGTATGCCTCCTGGTGATATTGCTCATCAGGCTTCTCTATGGATCATAGTCATTTTAAGACAATATGTTGAACCCATTCCTAGTGACTATGCTCCCACATCCTGGCTCAGACTCTTACTATTCTAGGGAGGAGAATGAATAAATAACTGCCATTCCTCTGCTTTCAAAACATCAACCTTCCTTGGAGTTCTTCCTCTTCATTAGCTGCTACTTTCAAACATTTTCCTTTTTGCCTTACAAAATTTTGGGGAGTCAACATGAATCCTTCTATTTTACTATATTTTTCTTAGGTGAGTCTCTACATTTAAAACCCTTACCTTTAGCATTCCCTTCTCACATCTAAGTCCATTTATGTAAGAGATTTTGTAATGTCTAAGTTTATTTAACCTAATTGTCCAGTAGGTATTTCAAAAGCAACATGTCAAAGAAAACCTTATGTGTTTATTTTCCTGTAATTTGAGCAAATAGTATCACCATTCAGAGAATTAGGATGGTCAGAAGCATAAACTCATCCAGTTCCACCTGGTTATATGTTCCAATCCAACTGGTACATAAATTCTGTAGTTTACTATTTTAGTCTGACTTCTCCCTTGCTCCTTGATGTCTTAAAGTAATTAAAAATGATCAGATTATTAATAACTTCATAACATAGCTTTGATGCCATTTAGTGACTTCATAAAGTTTCAGAATAAACCAAACACATCAGCTTGAGGCTAGACTGTTAGTCTTGTGTGCTTGTTAGACATGTCTGTCATTTCTATAGACAGCTCTGCCTTTCTACCATACTGGGTTTCCTCCTGCTTTCTAGGTGAACAATTTCTGCTCATCCGCAAGCTGTGTGAATGTCTCTCTCTACATTGACTCATAATTCTGTCCCAGGGCTTTCCAATGACACTCTCAGAGTTGGAACCAATCTATTATCAGTTCTGTCAAGATGACAGTCACAAGCCACATCTGCATATGAACTGGGGCCAATTTTCCTAAAGATCCAAAATTCATTTATATATACCAAGTAATATAAATAGTCACATGAGGCTAGTGTCTACCATGTTGGGAAGCAGAACTCCATATCATTATCTCTTGATTCCTACTCTATATTTCCTGCTGAAGTCTTTGGAAGCAGACTCTATAT